GGGATCTTTCTCAAATTTTAAATGTAGGTTCCCCTTGATCCCTCGTTGTGTATGTTATATTTTGAGACTGATCATAAAAACAAAATGGATTAAAAGAAGAACTAAACAGATCTTTCTCATATTGCAATGATCGATTCTATTTCTTTCACATTAAGTACTGTACTAGTAAATATGTGAAATGACAAACTCACTTTGAAGGTTGGCTTTCATACACATCAGTATTAAGTTTAGATCAAAAGTTACCTCAAGGTGCATTTACTGTTAACATGACTCGATCAAACAGATTAGAGGAAAGAAGAGAAAAGATCGAACTGAAAAAGAACTAATGAAGATGGTACAAAGGTGGGCGCCAAGATCCCTCTGGGATCTCTTGTCTTAGATAAATGCTGTCTTTGATGTGTTCGATTTCAATTTTATTCAACTGATCTGATACAAATTGTGAAAATGTTTTATATATGTATATAGTATAGTAGTGTCACCTTGCACACATATTAAACAAATGATAACTGGTTTGACAGGTAATGCGCTTTTAATACCCAGCGAGACCAATACTTGTTACCAAGCAAGGACAAACTAAAATGTCTGCACTTCCTTAGAAACGATAGTCGAAGGGATGAGGAAGATCTCAAAACCAGATTTTATCACAATTGAAAGCTTTTTAACTTGCACTGTCAGCTTTAAGTAAAAAAAAAAAATGATGTAACTACACTAAAAATATGCAATTCAATTGTAAAAACAATATGATATATTAACATTCAACTTTTGAATTAAAACCACATTCAACCTTTGAATTAAAATTAGTTATATTCATGTCTTAAGACCTTAATTATCAAATGCATAAAGATTGAATCTTCAAAACTTTTTGAACAAATTGCATGAATCAATGAGTAAATACTCACTGATTGCTTTGGTTGATGGCCATGTCAGGGCTTTCAGTAGACCCTTGAGAGTATGTTTTTGACTCCCCAAAATGAGCATTGACTTTTGGGTTTGAAAATACTTGAGTCTATTTGACATGTCAGGGGTCAACTGAAAACTCTGTACATACAGGTTTGAGTGAGTTGTTGTGATCCCTTCTGGGCCATACCAGCATGAGGCCTCTGTTTCCCCACAGGTTGTTGCTTGTCTCTAAGAGGAAGATCCCCATTGCAGTTTGTTCCACTTTACCTTACAGTCGCAATAAGATCCAAGGGAGGTAAGCACAAATGGCAGCAATTTCTTATCTTGTCAATTGAGGAATGATACTTCCTTGGAATTGTACAGCAAAACCTTGATATAATGCTCCTTGTTACATTTTCCACTATCCTTATCACCAACATATTACAAGGTCCTGCTTTGTATTTATCTTTATAGTCTCCCATTGATATATATTGCCAAGCCCCTTATGTCACCAAATACTTCCTATACGAAACGATAGCAGTATAAAACAGTTTTACTGTAGCCTATGGCTTGTTGGGTTGTTGTTTGTTTTCAACAAAATGTGAAAACAGCTTGGTCTGGGTTTTATTTTAAGTATTACAGTGTATTAAAGAGATGCTGAGTGTAGGTATTGCTGGCATTTTAAGTCAAGATGAAAGTATTTAAAAATATATAACATTAATACGTGTAGTATTGTATTGACTTCATATAGATGAAACAGAGATATTCCAACAAATCCACTGATCCTGAAGAGCCCTGTGATTGGTGAAAGCTGCTAGTTTTGAAGTCGGCTATTATATCCTATTTTTCCTTTATACTTACCTACTTCACATGGACATTCATTCATTCTAATTATAAATATAGACATCGCTTTATCCAGATTAAGAATCAATGTTTCACAAAGTATAACGTGTTTGCCTATAGGTCTGATGAGGACATCCTGATCACCAGCATCAAGTCTGCAGTTGAGGGACAAGTTCCCAAGGGGCTCCATGCACTTGTACGGGTCGATGATGGACAGGTAACACTAGCCAGCTTTAATTTCTTTGTGTAAATAAAGTTTATTAGAAAAATAATCAGATGCAAATCCTGTATATGTTTAATGAAAAATATCTTTTGTATTCACTTTTCATTATAGAAACAGATTTCACTTTTCATTTGCGATATGAAAGTTGTTGTGTAAGTTTCTTTGATGGTTGTGATGTGTAATTTTCCTTCCTATTCGTGTAAACTTCAATGATGGTTTGTTGAATAGGATATATCATACAGTGAACTTCTAGTGGCCTCCAGAGACGGCCCTCTGCGACGGAGCATGTCGGAGCAGGTCCCGCTAAACATTCCAGACACCCCTCTGGCTACAGGTATGTCTACAACCACACCTGACATGCTTACCTGTTAATAGTGTCGTAACTTGGTGTTGTTGCTAAAGTATGCAAAAGGTCAGTTTAGTTAACCAGCTCGAGTATACGGGTAGATAAAAGGTTTACTGGAGACCTACGTTATATCAGAGGGTTGTAATCTTGAAGCTGTGCCAGTTATAAATGAAAGATATATAGAATAGTATACATGTTGATCGTTATTTTCTCAATTCTATTAGACATGACATTATTGCATACTCTCAAATTTAGTACTGGATCATTTTAATGTAGATAACTTCTGTTAAACAAATATGTTGTGCATAATTTTTGTTGTTGTAAGAGGGAAATCTGTTTTATGTTTTGTTATAAATGAACCATCTTGTAATGTTTGAGAAGTAATGACAACATATATCTATAAAATCTATATACAGTTCTAAAACAACACTATCAGTCATGGGGTAACTGTGAGTAACTGATGTTTAGCTGTTATAGTATAGGAATCTCAATTCATCCCCTCATAGGAATGAATGTATTAGAAAAGGCTGATTTATAGACGAACAATGTATTTTGTATAAAATTTGCTTTTTTATTATGATTTTGCACCAATTTTCCTTATTACATGATGTTACTGTGAGTTTTAATACTACATGGCTCGTAGTAAATGCATAGACCGTATTTGACCTAATAAAGGTGCATGCCCAAATATTAAGCCAAATAATCCGAGACATTTGGAAATATTTTGAAAATGCATATAGCATTAAACTGAAAAATCACATATTACCTAGATGCATTCTCTATGGTACCATAACAAAAATAAATAGAATCTGACGTCAAATTACACGATAAACACAAATAAATGACACATATTTCAGGCATGGGAGGATCAGTTATCCTGAACTTGAAATGCAACTATTGGGAAAATTTACAAACAAAATACAAACTAACTGAGTTCTCTTAGATGAAATATGGCTTTCCTATGTAAAAATCATGATAAAATGATTTGAATGTGCTGCAATGACAGGGAAAAGTCGCCGGTTTTGTGTGTATGTTACTGGAAGGGGTCAAGGTCATGGGATACTATTCACTGACAAAGACTAGCCGGTCCACCTGTATATGAAATGTAACAGCAATAATTAGAGTTAAATAGCAAGTATTTTAGGAATTCCTTACAATCAAGAACATAGCAGCTTTAACATTTTAATTAAAGGCGATCAGAAATCATAAGTCTTTGTTAAGTCAATCAGTCAGTTAATTGCTAGAGGCTGCTTTTATGCGCACACATTTGTTCGAATCAGTCGGATTGGCAAACGCTATGTAAAGAACAAAAATTTGTATATTTCACAAAAAATATGAAGATTTGTCAACAAAAATTAAACCCAGGCTTAGAAACAATGGTTAAAATCCCGGGATGGAAGTATTGGGATCATATTTTGTCTGAATTCAATAAATATTGATGTAAGCAAACTGATGCAGTTACCATCTTCACGTCTTTGACAACATCTCCAGAGTTCTGAAAAACAGACTTATATTCACTCACTGTTACCCAGCTATAAATACACCCAGCATACCTAGGTAACTGTTTGTGTATAGCCTGGCTGTAGTAGAAAAGTCTAGGTAAATATTACTGTATAAGTCAATTAACCACACCCTTATTAGGTGAAATACGGTATACTGGTGAAGCCTACAACAGCTTATTATTAAACAACCATGTTATATATTTAGACACTCAAAAATATATTTGATAATTTATTTTTATTTTTTTCTACAAAAATAAAATTAACAATTATTGTATATTATATCGAATGAATATTTACTAATATTTATTAAAATCTGATGCCACACAAATAATTCTGACACTTTTAATGTCTGGCACCATTAAGGTATAATGAACTAACCCTGGTAGTACATGATAATACAGCACATTACTAACGACCATACAGACCTGTATACATATTTATTCAAATGTGACAGTGTTACTTTTGTAAACACTGAAAATAATTGTTCCTAAATGATGGCATGTTTATTAACTAATTATTCATTCTCCTTGAAAAAAAAAAATGCCATAATCTGTAAATCTCTTCAGGCCTTCTGCCATAATTTCACATGAAAAAGGAGAACATGAATTAAAATGAAATTAAACCATATTGTAAATGATAATACATACTCAACAAATATGTTGATATATCTGGTGGATAATATTTTGATTTTCAACATCTTTTATTTGCATCATCAAAAAATTATAAAAAGTAACACTTTTACCTCATATCTGAAATACTTTCTCTTTAAAATGGATTTTTTTGTAGTAACTGGTAAAAAAATTTAAAAACCAACAACAACAAAAAACCAAACAAACTAACAATATTTGTATTAGTCCTTTTTAGAGTACCAAAACTACATGATTGTGGCAATTGTACTCTGGTGTCACAGACAGTTAAGATACAGATCATAATTTGTGTGAAGGGAACAATTTTGGTCCTTCTGAAACATCTGGGTAACTCATACACACGAGAAAAGGAACTTGTAACTGATATTTCAAAAGAAAGCACATATTAAACATGTTCTTTTTTTAATATTTATAATTTATTTTTTTGAAATTCCATCTATAGACTCAAGAAATATTTCAGAAAAGTATAGTTAAGTGGGAACAATATGGGTACTAAAATGCTACAGATAAGTGGTCTAAATTACGGGTTTATATAGAATGTGGGATAGAAGAGCTGATGGTTATCAAGTGTCTTTATGGTACTCTTCCAGCCAAACAGAATGGAGGTGCAGTAGGGTTTTTATACTAAGTGATGCACTCCCACATTTGTTCTCCAAGTTTTAGCTTTGGTTTTCCCCTTTGGCATGGAAATCATTTAAGACTTTTCATCAAAGCAGATAAATAATATCATTGATATTGGGAAAAAAAGAGATAATACTGAGACAGTAATCAAGATTCCTGTGTCATTTTGAAGAGATACTGCCAATTTATAGGATTTTTTTTATTAACATGCCAATCTAATCTTATAGATAGATATACATGTTATATATTTATTAATGTTAATTCAGTAGTCATTTCCTACTCATACATATATTAAGTTTTCTACCAATCTTAATTTGTTAACTGCATACTTGCCATCTTTTTGAATTTTCCATTGGGAAGGTGACACATGCTCAGAAATAAAAGAATAAATCAAATGTGTCTTAGTACACACTAGGGGAAAACTCTTTTAAATGGCATTTTTTTAGCTGAAATCATATGAACTTGGAAAATTGGAATATTTTAGCAAATTCATTGGTTGAAAATGCTCAAATTTGGGATCAAAATAGGGAGTCTCTCGCCAAAATAGGGAGAGTTGGCAAGTATGTAACTGCAAATTGCTAATACTATTTTTATTTATAAAGCTTAACCAGTGGTCAAGTTAACCCCATCTTTGTATCAAAATAAACAAAAAACTTGCAAGGGACCCTCTTTTCCTTATGAGGTTTTCTCATACGTTTCTTTCTGTAACCAAATTAATTACTTGTTTAGACCACGCTTTTAAAAAGGCACGCAGTATCACTAAGACTCTGCAGTTTCATGGTATTGGTTTTCCTGGTATATTGGGGTTATCGCCTGATGCTTTGTGGGTTTGGACTAGTTTACACTGCATGATGAACTACAGAGACTGACTGATCTATCTCCATGCTATGTATACTCAATGTTTACATCTTATGAATACGTATTCAATCTAGATGTGATGCTGTTTATTACTACATACTATGACAATAGCATTCTTCTCCAATAATCAGACATAACCATGAATGTTTTTCATACTTTAATAAATATATGTTCACCACCTAGAACTAACTGTATTTTGCTCAGGTCGTGAGTTTGGTAGAAGTGTGTCGTACGATCCCACCCACTTACATCGCTCGTCTGTCATAGCATCTGGCCTACACAGAGGTATCCACCTTTTCTCTCCCCTCAATGAGGCTTGGATGATGTCAACTTAATCTATGTGTCACTGGATAGCTCACCTCATTATAGAATGTGTAGTTTGATAAACAGAAGTTTTACCATGCTTGCCTTATTTTCTATGTTGCATCTTGCTTAGAAGACTAGATAGTGATTTCTCGCACCTCAGACAGAGATATCCAACGCCATACCCCATGCTAGATTTTTCTATCTCGTCCAATCTGTCTTGTACCTTTACGTGACATTTCGCGGAATTTTTACACTGCAATGTATTCATCCACGTGTTAACTGCTTGAAATTGACAATTTGCATTATAAATGTTCTGTTTTGTCGCTATATGTATAGTTTTGATTTTGTTAGATATTTGATGTTGTAGATAAAATATAATCCACGCTGTGAAATACGTTGTAATCTATGTAAGGACGGCCTACATTTTTACGTGGAAGCATTCAAATGTAGCTTAAGTAGTGAAGAGGTCATTATCATTTGAGGCCCAAGTTGGGATACTTGTAGTTTTTAGCATATTGTTTTTTCGAACTAAAAGGTGCGAGAAAAAAAATCAATTACCTGTAACTGAGCAAGATCGGGTTATCTCAGTCTGGTTAAGATTCAGTAACATCCCAACCACGGCTTACACCTCGGTTGGGATTTTGTAACAGAATCTTAACCCTCGACTGAGATAACCCGATCTCGCTCAGTTACAGGTTATAGATTTTATTAGACCAGTATATTAAACCTGCTTTTCTGCATGCTTATTTGCTCTGTGTGTGTTGTGTCATGATTCTGTTTCGTTCACCATATTGATTGTATTGATTGTATTAATTGTATATAGAAATATAAAAGCAACAGTGTATATTATATTTACAGTAAAACACGTTGATAGCATTGGGATCTGATAAACGTTTTGACTTAATAAACATTCCAATAAACATATAATTTACTTCATAATTTGACAAATTTTGGCGACTTTTTGTTCGGCAGTTTTACGTTAAAAATAAAATTTGTTATACTGAAATTACCTTTCATAATAAGAAGGTACATATTAACATAAATCCATTGGATGTAAGTTGTTCACAAATTCATGCACTTTTATTTGTGGTTTCACTGTAACATTGAAAATAGTTAATTTAATGCATCAGAAGATTCAAACAAATCTCAGGCTTCAGGCTATATGTCTGGGTCCCTTAACCCTTTTACCACTGTAGACCATAATGGACTCATCCAGATCAATGCATGGTAGAGTCTACTAAAGTTACATAGGGGTGAAAGGGTTAATTGCAATATTGTATTGTTGTATATAGGATTCAGTGACCTATCATGACACATGGTTGTATATATATATATATACATGTATGCATAATGGAATAGGCAGAATTTGTTACATTTCTTACCATTTTCACCAAATTTTGTATACATTTAAACAGAATGATATTAATATAACTCATTTTTACTTTTATATTTAATACTTAAATCACTTTCACCTGCATAAATCAGTAATATTAATGATGTTAAAAGTTTTTTCAATGACAAATATTAAACAATTACTTTTTGATGTATGCACATAAAATTGTCATGTAACTCTAACTAGTTGGACTTTCATGAACAAAATAAGAATAATATAATAATAATAAACAACATTTATATAGCGCCCTATATGATTTGTAAAATTACTCATAAGCGCTTTACAACATATGGATAATAGTATTACATGTAGTTATAATTGTGAAACAAAAAACAAAGGCTTACAATCACTTTTATACATTTAGCGAGCAGATAATTATCGCAATGTTGACATAAATGAATAAATAAAGGGTGGTATTTACATGACGTCTTTGCAAAGAGCCTAGAATGCAGACGTGAAGATAGATGAAGCAAACAAAATATAATCAAAAACAGTATTCTGATCCTGAAAAGTTAGTCGGGCTAGACTTTGATTGGAACACTTAGAGTAATTATGAAATACCTTAGTGCAGTGGGACAGGGATACTTGCCTTAGTAACTTTAAATTTTAATAGGTGAATTGAAACTTTTTTTTATCTGTCTCATATTTGGTTGTGATGTAGGCTGATAATCGATTATAATAGAAAATCCATCAGTTTGCCCTTTCCCATTGATTCCAATTATCAATTACAAACCCATAATCGATATAATTGGTTCATCATTAAATCAAAGTGTTTAAATGTCTTCCATGTAAAGTATGCTTTGAAAGTCACACATCGTTATGATTTTTACGATATGATTGATAAAACTTCATAAAAGTTGCTTGATATCCATTCATAATATAAGACAAAACCTTATGTATAGTTAACAACTCTGTGTATTGAGTAGAAGTGTGTTCTCACTTTATTTCGGTATTCAGTCCCATAAAAGTATAAACCGATTATGTAAAATACCGCTTATCAATTATGATTCTAAATTGATTGCCCATCATTATACTGTATCATCACATTAGCTGGTCATCTAAAACAGCAGACAAAACAAATTACTGAGAATACCTGTACAGACATTCACTTCGATTTTTGAATGAACAACCCTTCCTTCATAAAATTCATGCTGGTGTAGCTACAATCATAGATTATGGGATTACGTGGAATGATTTAACCTAATAATATTATTTACTTTTGTGTAATCCTACATGTCCTCAGTTTATTAGCCTTTCCAAATGCATGTTGTTTTTTTCGTTGATTTTATGAAAATTAAAAAAATATAAAGCTTTTCTACCTGGTGCTATACCACAGCTGAACATTAATATTGGAGTCTGAAAATTATCATTAGTTATAGGATCCTGTAGCAGTGACAAAGAGATAAATCAATAAAAAGAATATATATATTTACATCCATATCTATCCCTTGAGGTTTGTTAAAAAAAGATACTTCAAATATCAGTGTCAAAAAATACACATGAACTTAATTGCAATATATTCCTCTTGATTTAAATTGTTGCATTGTAATATGTACAGTTTCTCCCAACAAATTAACTTATTCACCCCATGAACTTTCATAATGAAATATTCCAACCTTTGAATTGGAAGAGTTCAAATGTGTCTTCAGGGGAGAATAAGTTCAACACACTATCAACTCACTTATAGTGTTAGTTTTGATTCTAATGATTTATGTTGAATAACTCAGAAAAGCAGATGTAACGATAATAGAGTGATGCTATTTTTTATTTATCTGAACTTGTTATACTCTTTGATTTTTTAAATCAAGAGGTAAATCACAACTATTGGCCTACTCTGGAGAATCATTGAATGAGCCGAAGATACTTTCCAGATCCTTTTGAATGCAGCACCTAGAAAGCTTAGAAATGAACTTTCTCTTACTGTGAATATACATGTACATGAACAGGGAAATGCTTGCTGCAGTTCAATTTTACCTTCTGTTGTTCGAAATGAGTGGTGAATTATATAATCAATTTTCTAAAGATGAATATTCCTACTGCAGTACCTGAAATACAGATGCAACAAACATGTGCAATCTTTCCAGAAACTGTTATTGGTAAATGTTTGGGTATTTGTACAAGATTGATACAAAATATCCGAAACTAAGCATGATTTATGATTGTAGTGTTTTAGTGGCTAGTGCTGGTGACTGTGGATACTGTACATGTCTTGTTTTAGAAGTTCCTAGTCTCACACCTTGGTCCAGTGTTAAACCTGAAGTTTAGAAGACTATATGTATGCATCTCTATTATGACATCGCAACATCACTCGGCTTTAGAGCACTTATAAGATGCTGTATATCAACTTGATAGCTATGGATTGTCCATAAAATGTTGTCACTGTGTCATTAAGACACTGAAGATATGTAACACTTATAAGCTGTCCGCACTACGTCAGTAAGATAGCTAGGGAGAACTTGTAAAGTTCCATTGCTACAGCACGCAGACACTTGTCTTTTCTTTATACGCTCATCGTCCCTGGCCTTGGACATTTGATTTTATACCGTATCTATCCTGCAATAAGCCCAGAGGGCCCACTAATAATCTCTGACTGAAAGTTGGGGGATAAGCTTATTACAGGACAATGGAAAAGCTTTTGTTGGCATTTCTTTCTCACTGCAATATATATTGGTGGGCTTTATATTACTTAGCATGGGCTTATTTCGGGATAAATACGGTGATTTATCTTGCACAGAAATGCATTAGTCACAACTGATGTCATTTTTTCATATTTTGTCAACTTTTTCACTTGGAACCAATTTCCTTGTGGGGATTTTTTTTTTTTTTTGAAATTCCACTTTTAACTACAGCTGACATTTAATTAAACGATATAGCAAGAAAAACAAGTGACATAACTGTGTTTATTTTATCATCACAATAAAGTAGTGGGGGGATGTAGGGTTCATGTTCAACATATACTGCAGTAAAGGTCCAGGTCACTGTTACTATTTCAGCAATACCTTAAGCATTATTCTGGTGACTTTATGGGTATCCATGAATCTCTATACAAGTGTTAAGTGTGACAGTTATTCATTTGAGAGAGTGTATGTGTTGGATTTGTATTATTTTGCTACTGATAGGTCATAATTAAAGTAATTTGTGTATTGATGAATTTTGAAGTTACTCTAACTTACATCTCTATATTTTGTAGAAGTTCTGTGCATTGTAGGAACACTGTTAGTACAGTAGATGCTTTGTTGAAGAACTGTTCGCAGATTTATTGCCAAATAATCACTTCCAAAAGTTGATGGGAGCTTTATATATAACACGGAAATCTGTCAGTTTTTAATTAAGTTACAGAAAGGTTATACTTTTTGTGGTGAATTTATTATTTTTAACACTATGTTGACAAATCAGTGTCGTAAATTAGGTGTAAGCTTAAGCATATCTCAGCCAGCAGATGGTCCACCAAAATTTTGTTTCATTAATCAAAAATTCAATTTGACAGAGAATGCCTTTACCAAAGTTTGCATGTTTACGCAAATATTTTTTAATGGCAGTGTTACGTCAGGGAGGGATTAACACTAGTGTCGGCTGAAACAAGTTTGACCTGTAGGTAATTGAATAATCATATTTTAGCCAGCAGATAGTTTTCTAAAATTTCTTTTAATCAAAAATAGAAGTTGAAAAAGAATGCTCTGGCCAGGTTTGCATGTTTAGATGTATGATTTTTTCGCATTACATCAGGGAGGTTTTAATATTTGTCGCTGGAACAAATTTAACCTGTAGTATGTTGTACGCACTAATAGTTTCTTTATCACAAAATAATATGGCCAGTATTTGTTCAGGTCAAAAACCACAAAAATATCTTAACTTTTTAACGACTTTCATAGCAATGGCAATCTGTAAATTTGTTGCATTTATTAATCTTATTAAAAACATTTTTTATTCAAATAAGTAAACAGTTTCATTTCTTTTTACTCCTACAACTAGCATATATATATATTGAGTCCTTCATATGCAATTTGAAAAATGACTGATGCAATTCCAGCTTTGCACTCTTTCCAAAGAAATCAAAACGATATATTTCTATATATCATATGCACAGAATTTGTTAAGATGATATTTGTACAGTCTGACATAACGTGTATATATTTTCACATACAAAGGAGATATTTGCTTTTGGTATTTGATCAAATGACTTCGGTAAAGTTTACAACCTCTGTACCTTTCTGTTTACATTAGTGTAGTAATATTCTCCTACTTAAATGATACAAATAACAGCTGTAGGGTATATACTTTTGTTATATATTACTGGTAGATGTTGATGTTATAAAAATAATTCTTATTTCATCTATCTTGCTGCAGTATCACCAATACTTGAGTCTGGCTGAGTGTTGAGCTGAAGTGTCTGTGTTAGGTCTATTCCGTCTTTGCGTATTGCAGAGTTATCTTCTCTTGAGAACAGGTATTGATTGTTACGTCATTTGTTTGTGAGAGTAACGTCATCAATTTTTGAAAAAACGACGTAATTTTCTCACACAAACCAATGACGTAACAATCAATACCTGTTCTCAAGAGAAGATAACTCTGCAATACGCAAAGACGGAATAGGAGATTAAGTCTTGAGATGAAGTCACTTTGTTAAGTCTACAGGAGTTAAAGTGTCTATGTTAAGTCTATAGGAGATTAAAGTTGAGATTAACTGTCTGTGTTAAGTCTACAGGAAATTAAGTTTGAGCTGAAGTCTCTATGTTAAGTCTATAAGAGATTAAATTTGAGATTAAGTGTCTGTGTTTGGTCTATAGGAGATTAAGTTGGAACTGAATTATCGTTGTTAAATCTAAAGGAGATTAAGTCTGAGCTGAAGTCTCCATGTTAAGTCTATAGGAGATTAAGTGTTTATATGAAGTCTATAGGAGATTAAGTTTGAGCTGAAGTCTCTATGTAAGTCTGTGTGAGATTAAGTTTGAGCTGAAGTCTCTATGTTAAGTCTATGGAAGATTAAGCTTTAGCTGAAGTCTCTATGTTAAGTCTATGGAAGATTAAGCTTGAGCTCTGCCTGAAGCAGACTCTAAGTGTGGGTGATATTGAAGTACGATTATATACTGAGTTATCATTTTATAGTAAATAATCAGTGAACTATATATAAATAGATGTGTTCGGTCTATCACTATATAAATGTGTTTTAATATATTCATTAATTACTGCTAGTATCCACTTTTAACATATCATCAGTAGGATTGGGAAACTGTTTGTTTTGTCTGTATAGTGTTATGACCGTTCTATATCCTTTCCTGTCCTATCTTCCAGTACCAGAGGAAGAGGATGATACACCTTATGACCCTAGTGCACTTGATGACCCGGAGCTTCAGTCTGGTCGGTACAGAAACCTGCTCAGACTCACTTCCTATCTGGTAAGCACACTAGTACTTCCTTATCCGATAACTGATTAACCCTTTCACCCCTATGTAGTTTTAGTAGATTCTACCATGCATTGATATGGATGAGTCCATTATGGTCTACAGTGGTGAAAGGGTTAACGTATATGTACTTGTGTATTTTTTTAAGTATCTGAAGTTAAAACTTTATCCTTCGATCATGTTCAATTATTTTTGTGCTTCATATGCATGACTCAGTTGTTTAATGCATTATTGCAATCAAAATGAAGGGTGCAAATGTGTTTGGATTTTTTTTTCTTTTTGTAAATAGAAAATATTATGAAAGAGTGTTCCCCATCTCCCTATGGATTTTAAATTTGGGGGTATATTTTACAGATTTTTAAGATTCTGTACCCCCAAATGCTTAGACATGTAGGACAGTCCTTGAAAAATGGGGGTCCGATGTTAACTAACTAGATAAGGGATTAAAAAAACTTCATTTGAGGGTCTAGGGAACACTGTTTAAGGTTTAAAGGTTATGAATTCTGTTTCTCAGGTGATCCAATAGCAATGTTTGATAGTTAACATATATGTGTGGTACACTCTAAGTCCCAGCCACATTTTCTAAACAAATGATCAGTGTTACAATTCTTCTATGCTACGAAGGTCTGTAGTATCTCCAATAATCTCAACGATCTTTTCAATTTGGCTAAGACTGCATTTTGTAGCATCCTTTCATGTGTATCAGTGTGATTTCATGCAGTGTTAGTTAGTATAATTGCCCAACAATTCCTTTCAGACATCTGTCATTGACTATGTCAAGCCATCAACATTGAAGAAGGAACTAAATGAGAAATTTAAAGAAAAGTTCCCTAACATCCAGTTGACCCTTACTAAGCTGAGAAGGTAGGTACAAATGTGTGTTAGGCTTTAAGCTTCCATACAGTTTGATGAAAACCGTGTATTACAACAATGAATGCACAAATATACTGTAAACTTTTAACTTTGAATGACTTCCTCTTAAAAACTGAAAGACCCAGGTTCATGGTATTTGGTTCGTAAGTACCTGAGATTGAGTTCTATAAGGTTTCCTTGACCTACTTTCAAGGTCACATGGGTCACATATGGTAAAGGCTTCTAACAAAATGATTTAAAAAACATATGTTCAAAGCCATGATACTGGAGTGTGTTATGTTGATCAGCACTTCAAATCTTTTTACGATGTAATTGTTAGGTCAAAGGATCATTGAGTACTAACAGTACTAGCTGTGATTGGTGGAAAGCTTTAAACATCTTCTCAAGTCCGATAAGGCTTAGCTAGTTCATACTAACTGGCCAGTAGCTAGGTATCTGGAATGGCATGCAATAAGTTAACCTCATATAAATGACCTTCAGATACTTTCAAGGTCACTGATGTCAAATATGTTAAATATCTTAATAGCTGTTTAAAAAAAATAGAAGCTTATAGTAAAAACTTACATTTTGTTGCTGAGAAAATAACAACTATGGTGTTTATATAAAAAAGAGACAAGCTAGACCAACATGAAATTGATAGGGTCGCAGAAATTGGCCAGGGGGTAACCTTTTTCAGTCTTGAAACAATTATGCCAAGCTTACACATGATAACAGCCCAGGAGAGCACTGTAGTGAAACCAGAAACTTGCCATCTAGCTTTATTTGTCCAGATGTATGATTAAATTGTCATAATGTTTAAATTGGTCATTTTCTTTGCTGTGATAATAACCTACATTGTTGCTTTTGCGAATAAAGTGTTTATTTGATTTCCTCCTGTTTTTATTTTTAGCTTGAAAAAAGAGCTACGAAGGATAGCTGCTGTAAAGGTATTTGATTTACTTGAAATGAAATCCTATCTATACAAAAAACATGGTATCCTATCTCTTAGAACCCAAACATGGTAACCTATATATTAAATCAGAAACATGGTACCCTATATTTTAAATCAGAAACATGGTACCCTATATATTAAATCAGAAACATGGTACCCTATATATTAAATCAGAAACATGTTACCCTATATTTTAAATCAGAAACATGGTACCCTATATATTAAATCAGAAACATGGTACCCTATTTATTAGAACAGAGACATGGTGTATATAAAACCTGTGAAATAGAATATGATCTTCAGCTTGGTCCAACTTTGTGTATTTATGTATGTATTGGATAAACACAAAACTGGTTATATCAGATACTGTGTCAAACTTGTATTATAGGTATCATATACATGTACTATATATCACCAGCCTAAAGGGCCTGTCACACACAAACTGGTTATATCAGATACTGTGTCAAACTTGTATTATAGGTATTACATACATATACTATATATCACCAGCCTGAAGGGCCTGTCACACACAAACTTGTTATATCAGATACTGTGTCAAACTTGTATTATAGGTATCACATACATGTACTATATATCACCAGCCTAAAGGGCCTGTCACACACAAACCGGTTATATCAGATACTGTGTCAAACTTGTGTTATAGGTATCACATACATGTACTATATATCACCAGCCTAAAGGGCCGGTCACACACTACTGATGTACCTCATCGAAAATGGCAGAGGAAGCACTTGGAAAAAAATCTCAATTGACTGTAGCAATATACCTATGTAGTACCGGCGTTCCCGTTGCAATACTGTTGATCTTCCATTGTCCTTCCGATGTAAGAGCCGATGTGCTACCGAATTCATGTACCACTTTTCTGTCGTTAGTACATCGGAGGCGCATCAGTGCTACTTTGGTGTTATTTATAGTACTATGGTATCACATTGGTACCAGTACGGTACACATTGAGGCCACCAGAGAGTAACCGATGCATTACGGGGCTCTACCGCTGCTCTACTGACATTAACGAAGCCATACTGGAGTACTGCTGTTGTAGTCCCGTTGCTCAATCTGGCAGCGCAAAAGGTGAACATTTTTGAACATGTTCAAAAATTTCTACCTTCGCCTGCTGTTGATAATTTTTTCGCAAATGTTCTTACAATGTCCTCACAATGTACTATCGTTCTTAGAGATGTGATACTGTTGCGCTGCCTTACTAGTACCGATCCATGAAAATCGCCAAATTTGTGCTCCGGTATAGCTCCAGCGACCCAAATCGGCTAGGTGTGACAAGCCCTCAAACTTGTTATATAGGTATCACATACGTGTACTATATATCACCAGCCTGAAGTACAAATTTCTTTTACAGTGTGGACTGGACATCTGGGTTGTAGCACAAGCCTATGTGTTTTTTGAAAAACTTATTCTAAAGGTAAGTTGATCCTGTAATAATTGAAATTATGAATTACCAAATTTATTTAAAGAGTTAACTGTTTTTAGATTCTACTTGACAGACAAATTGGAGTAAATATTTGTTAAGAGATTTTTTCATGTGGTTTATATTTTATTGATTTTCTAAATCCACTTAAAAAAATCAAATCTCCAACAAAAAGGATTTATGCTTTTACTGTACCTTTGACTAATATTTTTACACCCGTCCGAATGAAAGCCGTTGTGCACTCTCACATTTACATGCATGTTGTTATCTGAAGTGTAAATAGACACATTTTAATATGCCAAGCGTCAGTAAACTTACAGCAAGGTATTTAAACTGAATATGGTAATTACTCCCCACAAGTGGTGCTCATTAAGTCACATGTACACTGGTAACGATACCACGTGAATGCTGTTCATACCATCTCATGCGGGAATTACATCAATATTTATTAGATCTATTATAGCATGTTCCCCATTTCCTTACTAACATTTTATACACAGTTTTTTAAGGTAACCCCTGGGCCTGTTTTCATGAAACCGTTCTTGAGCAGCAGAGTTTTGGGGCTCAAGCCTAATTACTTGTTCCGGCTACAACTTATCAGAAAAATATCATTTTGTCAATGATTTGCAAAACATTTATCATTTTGTCAATGATTTGCAAAACATTTGAAATGTCCAAATGTTGAATACTGTTTGCAATGTTTACAATTGACTTTTAGATCATTTGACATGATTTAAGTGGGTAACAAAAAAAGCCAGTTTGAGCATGAGAACGGTTTCATGAATACAGGCCTGGGAATTAAATTTGAAGTCATTGGAGTCAAACTTAGCACTTTCAATAAATTATCATAATTATACAACACTACATAGACTAATACATAGAGGTGATTGCGGTTTTTGCTTGACTAACTTTGTGAAATCCTATCAGAAGTAAGTGCTGTAGGGTGGTGCAGTCCCTGTAAAACCTGGCTCGCATGGTAAATAAGGATTAACCCTTTTTTTGCATGGGAGTACTTTAACTTGACAGTTGCAGATAAACAAACAGAACAGGAAACTGTGTGCAGGAGCGTGTCTGATGCTGTCCGCCAAGCTCAATGATGTAAAAGGAGACCAGCTCACCAAACTTATAGAGGTACTAACATAAATATGGGTTTTCATTTATCGTGTTTAAGAGATAAATGTACATTAGCTCACCCGGTATAAAGGACCAAGGTGACCTTATGCCATACTACGCCATCCATCCATCAGCATTTCCCTCAAACAGATTCCTGGAATGAAACACTAATCACAATTTCACCTAATTTAAAAGGAAACATCCATAACTTTGTTGGGATGTAAATTTGTACAAATGAATGGCTGGGCTAAAAATGGTGTATTTTGTCCATAGTTGTTTTAATGTGTCTATTCCTCTGGAACTATGTGATGGATATGAATCATATTTAGTTGGTAGCATTCTCAGGTGATGATAAAAAGGGGTAAGGCCTGACATGCCACAGGCGACTTGTAAGTATTACTACTTTTAATGAGAATGTTTTGCCACGATTGCTTAAATATCCAGGTGAGCGATACAGGCCATCTTGGCCTTTTGTTGTGCAAAACAGATATACCTTAAATGCTTACACCTTTGTATCTAAGAAAACTTTCTTTTTTTGACAACTACAGAATTTGATATTGTAAAAATTTTAAAGCAAGCAATTTAAACATTGAATGAAGTTTTTGAAGTTTGAACATCCTAAATATAATTTTGCAGAACATAGAAGATGGCCTTCGTGTAAACAGGAAGGAGCTGGTGAGTTTTGAGTTTGCCTGTTTGGTGTCACTGAAGTTAGCTCTGCATACATCGGACCAAGAGATTTTCCCCCACTACCAGCGACTATTGTATCAGTCCTGACCAAGGCTTCCACAACCACAGATAGACACACCCACTCTCTTGGACCACACTCTCAAAGATTGAACCAACCAATTACGCTGACATATTCCTTATAATTTACCAAAAAAGGCAAGACTTCATAAAAAAAGACCTACCCACTTGGACCACACCCATAAATGTAACTTTTCAGTCCATACATACTAAAACTTGTTGTAGGTTTTAATTGTTTTGAACAAACCAAAAAATCAACTTTTTTAATATCTGATTTACATATTATGATTCAGATTATTTTTCATGACTGCTGAACTGTAAATATCTGCTGTTATGGGATTGCTCAAAAATGAATTCGGACAATCTATTCTACCATGTATTTTCTTGCCAATGCTAGGCTCGTTTGATAGAGCTGTGTGGGGAGGTCTTCATACATCTGGGTGTCTCTACACTCTGTGGTTTCCCTCTAATATGGAAGGAAAGCCTGTGATTTTTAATAGATAGGAGACACAGTATATTAGAAATTTGACACTGTATTGAAAATTAATCATTATTGCAAGGACTCTTTTTTCCTGTTTGAATTTTTATGCCACTGTGAACACTTGCTTTTGTGATATTTTGCAAGTTTTGTCCATTTTTATATGAAATCATCTTAAATGTTTGATTTGTACATAGCTGTTAGCATTGCTGTTACTGTACAGATTGATTGAGCCTTTGGCGATAATTTTTGGTTGGAATCGTGAATTGAGACCATTATATTTTGATTTTGGTAATTGACTTGAGGTATTTTTGGAATATCATGCTGTATAGCAGGTGTGTGTATTACGGTATGTTTTAATACCTGATGATCATTACATTTTTTAACATGTTAGACTATTAAAAACTTATTGATCTCACTGAGATGGCATTGTAAACCTGTCGAGTTGAGAGCAGATTTTTACCATATCATAAAACATCTACAGTTTATTGGTTCACCTACTTGATTATATTACGCGTAAATTTTAGGTTTGGATAATACTTGTATCTGATGGTCAAACATTAAAATGTATTACTAGTTTCACCAATCAAATGTAGTTCATAGCATATAAAATGGATTTTAATGTATTATGATAAATATCTGGGTTTAATTTAAGATGTTGACTTGGTGTGAATTGTTGCGATCACATACGCTCAAACATATAATGGGAAATTGTAGATGCGACAAGGCATTTCCAGTTCATGCAGGCTAACTACTGAAAATATTGGAGGTTAATTAAAAGGACCAATTACAGACATGTACTGGTAACAGCCCTGATTTCTGTGTGTGTCCTGTAGGATGTTGGTCACTTCACAGGTGTGCATCATCATTTTATACTTTGACAGTCTCACATTATGATTGATTGTTTTCGAGAATTATCTATGTGAAAATTTATTTAGATACCAGTAGGCAATCAACTATAACAAGCAATATCATGTACAAGTTAATAAAACTTGATTGCATCATAAGCACCCTGTTACAGGACATCTAACAAGTCCTACACTTGTTGTACAGGTTATTACATAAACTGGCCACTTACTTAAACTATAAATTATACAAACAATACTCGTTTATTGGTTTTTCTGATGTGTTCCTTTGTCTAGTGTATACTTCCAATGTAAAAATGTTTTTATTTAAGTTATATACAAATTTGATCAGTTTTTAACCTGCTGTTATATTGTCTTTATTGAAGCTGGAACTGACTACCATATTGTCTGTATTGTGGCTGGAACTGGCTACCATTTTGTCTGCATTGTGGCCGAAATTGGCTACCATATTGTCTATATTATGGCTGGAGCTAGCTGCCATTTTGTCTGTATTGTGGCCGGAATTGGCTACCATATTGTCTGTATTGTGACCGAAACTGGCTACCATATTGTCTGTATTGTGGCTAGAACTGGCTACCATTTTGTCTGTATTGTGATTAGAACTGGCTACCATATTGTCTGTATTGTGGCTGGAACTGGCTACCATATTGTCTGTATTGTGATTAGAACTGGCTACCATATTGTCTGTATTGTGGCTGGAACTGACTATCATATTGCCTGTATTGTGGCTAGAACTGGCTACCATATTGTCTGTATTGTGTCCGGAACTAGCTACCATATTGTCTATATTATGGCCGGAACTGGCCACCATAATATTGTCTGTATCGTGGCCAAAACTAGCTGCCATATTGTCCGTATTGTGGCTGGAAATGGCTGCCATTTTGTCTGTGTTGTGGCTGGTACTGGTCGCCATATTGTCTGTATTATGGCTGGAACTGACTGCCATATTGTCTGTATTGAGGCCAAAAATGGCTACCATATTGTCTGTATTATGGCTGGAACTAGCTGCCATATTGTCTGTATTATGGCAGGTACTGGTCGCCATATTGTCTGTATTGTTGCCGGAACTGATTGCCATATTGTCTGCATTGTGGCCGAAAATGGCTACCATATTGTCTGTATTATGGCCGGAACTGGCTGCCGTATTGACTGTATTGCAGCCGGAACTGAGTTCTATACTTTCTGTAATGTAGTTAGAATTAGTTACCATATTGTTTATATAACATTTAGTCAAGATTGTACAATGACATGCTTTTTCAATACTAGTCGAAGACTGTGCTTGGGTGTTATTTTATTAAGCAGTATTATTTATCATAAATATGAAGCATTAAGATGTGGTATTTCCTGCTGATATATAATCTTACCACTGCTTCATCTGATTACGTGAATTGAGGTAATTCATCACGTAAAGGAAAGACCAAACAAGTTTGTGTAGTTGTCATGCGATCTTTTTTGGGTCAAGTGGCACCATGTCAAAATCTGACACCTTTTAATGGTTGAAAAGGGTTCAGTGTGATGTCTTGGTTTTGACAAATATTCAGACTATATTGTCTGTTCAATATTGGCTTATATAAACTTACGGACCGGTATCAATTATAAAGTGTTGCATGTATCTTGAAATACTGAAAGTTTTGTTGATAATAGACTGGTTTTTCAGCCTTATGGAAAACGGAATAGGAGGGAACCAAGGTAATTGTCTGGTTGACACATGGCTCTGGCTAAAATAGTGGTAATTTAGTATACCAGGCCATGTGTTCCTTTAGTTAGCTGGATTAGAACCAAAGCAAATTTTGTATCTCTTGCTGCATTTAAAGTTTAAATATATGAACATTTCATAAGCAAAATCTATGAATATTAGTGGAACTTTTTTAATCTGAGCAATTATTTTTATTTGCAATTTTCAAGATTTATTGCCATATGAATGTTGCCATATGAATGTCTATGTCAGTTGTCAAAATTTTGTGTTTATATTCATTAAGATTGACCAAATCTAATTTGTTATGAACAGGATTGATCTATGTTAGGGGTATTTGTTAATGATATCCGTCATCTTTCTATTCTCTGCACATTTTATAATTTCAGATATATGCCATAGTGATTGAGATATGCATTTATATTATTTGGTATTGTTTATTTGATGATGTATGATACTGATTGAATTACAAATATGAAGTATTTCGTCATTACAGTACGGCGCATCAGCTGTGAATCAGTAGCTATACCTACTGTCCAACGTCATTTCAAGTTCAGTGTGATATGATCTTGCTTCACTTTTTTATGCTCCCGCCAAAACATTTTTGGGGGGGGGGGGGGGATATACAGATAGTGTTGGCCATGTCCTTGCCTTCCTGTCACATTGATTCAATGTAAAATGTAGCCACTTCATTCTATGACAGATTTTCATCAAACTTTATGCAAATGTCATAAGTATGCAACACATCAGATGATTTCGTGTTTAAGGATTCCAAGGTCAAGGCCAAGGTCGCCATTGCTTTTTATAGAAACTCATCAACCAATTCAGTGCTTTCAGTTCACCAACTTTATTTCCCGATGGATATTGATCAACTTTTATACAAAGGTCAAGTATGAGAATACCGCTGACATCTGTGTTTTAAGGCTCCAAGGTCAAGGTCATTGTTGATGTGTATGTAGAAAATCATCAACTGATTCATTGTCCTCACTCTAGCTAATTTGCTTAATAAAGTTATAATTATTAAAACGGACAATCATCACAATGTCACTTGTTTTATATCTAGATACATTAGACCTCATCATTGTCTCTTCCATATATGACACTGTTTAATTTAGGGAGACTTACAAAACTGGTTTATGCATACAATTTCATAGAGATGTCAAGAATAAAGAGAAAGTCATTGTAACTATTTATAAAACATTACCAAACACTGAAATTAGTTTCACATGGCGACACGGGCATTCATGTCTTACGGACATTTTCTAGTTTATTTTCATTTTTGAAATTGCAATTTCATGATTTAGATCTTCAGCATAACTGAAGAATGTATTTGTTAGTTAATCTTGTCCAAAGGACCAAGGTTAGCTTATGCTGTACTGTGGCCTCCATTTTCCATGGGTCACGATTCAACCCCTTCTTAACTGCTGATTGGAATTTGACTACTTCTCTAAACTAAGTGATGGATATCAACCATATTGGGTTAGGAACATTCTCAGGTGTTGGGGATTCAAAATGTATACCAGTTGAAGAGCTAACCACAGGTCTGAAGGATGTTGCCAAGAAAAACTTTATTTGGACACTCTCGAGATCCCCACACTAAAACCATGTATACATTTGCTGAGTAAATAGAGATAAACACAGTCATATAATAAGGATTGACTCTGGGGTCTGGCCCCACACCTAGAATCTTAATTCCTAGGCAGTAACTTTGAAATAACTTAGATCCCCGCCCCATAACCACATTGACCATTGCTAGGCATAAAGAGACAAACACAGTCATAATATTAGAATTAAACCTGGGGTCTTGCCCAACCTTTAGGGACTTTATTCTTGGGTCATGATTTTGAGACAGTTGAGATCCCCACCCCATAAACCCATAATCATATTTATGCAATTGATGGGCACAAAGAAAAAAAACGACCATGATATTAAAATTAACCCCTGGTTCTGGCCCCACCCGTAGGGACTTAATTCCTGGGCAATAACTTGGAATGGTTGAGATTTCCATCCTTTAGCCATATATACCATTGCTTGGCATAAAGATCCAGGTGAGCAATACAGGCCCTCTGGGGAACTTTTTACAATTTATTATATATATATATGAAATAATTAAAATTTCCTACGTGTTACCTCAGACTTAAAATGTTATCATGGCATTAGTTGCATTGATATTGTTGAATATTGAATATGATTTACATCTGCTCTGAATCATACTTCATCTGCATTTCTTTAGGAGGAAAATGTGTATGCTCTACATTTGGTTATACCATCAGAAAGGGTTGAAGTCGAGAATAATCTGATTAAAAATGCTAGTGTGTAGGTTGTAAATATTTAATGGATAAATTCACAGCCAAGTTTTGTTAGACACTTCAAAATTTAAACAAATTTCTCCTTTTTTCTCACAAAATATGTACAGACTTTTTCAGACGACAATTTTCAATGACGGATATATATTTTAAAATATTGAAATTTAACTGAATTGTCTATTAGATAGGATAGCAACTTCATTTATTACACACGAGCACCTTATGTGGTGTAGTTTAAGGTCAAATGATGGGCCCATTTTCAAATGTAGTGTATACACAATGTATACCTTACTCATTATCATCAACATTTTTTAAAATAATGTTATTTGAAATTTAAATAAATTCCTTCCGTAGTTTTTTGGGAATGGCTAAGAATGTTTCCGTGTTGACAAGGACATTTCCACTTTTATAAGGATTGAAATTAAAACTGTATTTGTCATAATTGATTCACATTTCACTTCTATATCATATGGATTGAAAGAAAAAAAACTCAGAATTGATTCATATCATTTTTTAAATGGTTTCTTGTATAATGTGCCTGATTTGACTTTGTGTTTGAAGTCTTGTATAATGTATCGGGGCCGACATGAAAACAACCTCACTCAGTCATATGATGTTATTCTTTCGGTAGAATGATAATTTATAACAAGTTACCATTATGTCAGCTTCTGTCTTATTGGTAGGATCCCAGCTGGACATTGCTGTTTACCACAATTTGCAATATTGATGCAGTGGCCTTAATTGACCTGTTGGTTGAGATATACATTGAACAACTCTCCTTTACAGAATGTCCCTGTGATGGTTACGTTACAATCCAATGTTTACTTCAGTCACACAGCTGTACCATAGCCCTCAAACCAAACGTTTCTTTGTTTCTTTTGTGTACAGTATTGATAATTTATTACTGAAATAATTCGAATGTTCTAGCTTTCTAATTTTTAGTCAATATAATATGATATAAACCTGCGTCTACTTTTTGCTGATGATTAACATATATTTTATTATTACACCAGTGGCACAAATTTTTTTTTGGTAAATTCAATTATAATTTTGTTTCGGCAGTTAAAGCACACAGGACACCAGGACTGGTGTTCATATGCTTGATAGTTACAGCAAAGAACCTCCTATTAACAAAACAAATTAATCTCATTTAGAATGTTAGATATTTGAACTTAATTTGATACAATATCTTCAGCTTCATATATCATGGTTGATTTGATTATTCCAAAGTCTTTCTTTGGGATAATCTACATGATACATTGCCAAAAACTTTGTTCAAAAGGAAATAGGACGAGACATAACGAGCTATTGCTGTTAATGTGTGCTTTGTTAAAGAGGTTGATATGTTAAGGAAACCAGCATCTTGTTTAAGGATGTATGGTAGCTTCACCAGATACCTGTGATTTTTGTAACAGTTATCTCCCTTAATGCTAGTGATTTGTGTAATAGTTCTCTCCGTTACATAACTTGATATTATCATGATTTAAGAGCTGCAAGATTATTATAAATCCTTTCATTCTTCTATACCTTTTAAAAATATCATCTGTAAATAAACTGACCATATATAAAAGGCTTTTGAAAAAGTTTCTTTTTTGGGAAACTCTTTGTAGAGGAGATGAATGTATCAGTCAGGTAGCAGACATCCTTATAAGTTAAGTGTTCCGAGTGGAATTCAACATTCCAAAGCTTTAGCATTGTGTGGGAGTGTAAAGTCATTATGAACACGGATAAGATATATTTAGGTACCTAAAGTATCGAACCAAAACCCTTCTAACAGCCTTAAATGGTATAAGATTGCATGTACATGTAACAGGAATTAGCCTTTTTCAATTGAATGTGCGTTTCATATATCTACATGTATATACATGCATGTTAAAACAGGAAATACTTTTGAACAAGTTTTGATGTTGGTATTGGAATTATTAACTAATTGATAAATGTGCTAGCCACAATTTAGTTCCTTCTGTTTGTATATTTATATCTGGGGGGGGAATGGTATGAAAGGCATATATACAAGTCACTCAGTGGCTTTGTTGGTACTGAGAATTGAAGCCTACTGGAGAGGTGATCAATGGTGTAATAACTTGTTCTGCCATTAGCTAGGTTAAAAGTCTTATTTTCTGTCTGTTGTAAATAAACAACAAGGTACTAAATTATTCTTAGTACACGTATTCCAGTGTTGGACCAAAACTAGAAAGTCACAATCCATTGTTGAAAGAAAGTTGTGGACGACAGCAGCTTTGTTTGGAGTATGTATATATTACAGTTCTGTAGAGTAGACTAAATTATTTGACTTGCTCTGTGATCTCAACAGCTTACTTGGTACTGACTGTACAAAGATGGTGTATATTATTACATAGATTACTTTTACATGGAGTTTTCTCCGCCGTGGCAGTCATGCCTGTATGAATTTTGTGTTTGTGTATAAATTATGGATTATGGATTATTATGTACTCGCTCTTGTTTTGATCCTGTTTTTTGTTTTATTGTTTCATGTTTGCAAAGGAAACATTTTTTGTTTTATTGTTTCTGGTACCGTAAATCACTTTCCTTTTTGATACTTTGCGAGGACACTCTTCACCAAATGAATAAAAAAAAAATCCATAAAAATCAATATGGATTATTACTATCGATATTGAAAAAGCATCATCACGATAGCCAATTAAAGTGTTCACAAATTAAACCCACAGGCATATCTCACAAAGTACACACAAAGCTTGAATGATTTACTGTATGTATAGAAACAGTTTTTATTTTTATGTTTCATGTATGTATTAGAAACTTTTTTCAGCAAACTCTGTTCATACAGTTTATACAGATGTATAAAACTTATTCTCTTTTTGAGAGATTATAAAATGTTTAGACAGAAGATGCAGAAATTTGTTTCTGTAATTTTTGTCCTAGTCGGACTGAAGTGCTCAAAATGATAGTGGAATGCTATTGCATATGAGTAATAAGGTGAAACATAAAGCATATAGTTACCTGTTGTTTTCTTAATACAAATACTGGTTTTGGCATAAAACCAAAACATTAGGCAGATAGATGGTACATGCACTGGGTAAATGTTACAAGGTCTTGCTAAGCAGTATCTGACCTAAATTTGAGAACGTCAGGCTTTTTACTTTGTAAAATGCTTTTCTGGGTATCAGATGCAAGGTTATCCCGATAAAAACTCATTTTACAAAGTCGGCGGCCACTACTCAAGATTTTTGCAATTTACATAAATAGTAAACATATATATATGTATTTGTTTTTGTCACTTCAATCGCTGTGGCCAGTGCCGATCATTGTTTTGTTTCCACCCAAATGCTGGTGTAGTACCAGCTTCTATGGTATTAAACAGAAAACAAGGCTTACTTGTTTATATATGTTGTCAGTGCTTGATGCTGTAAAGTTTGGTGATAACATCATTATTGAATAAATAATTTGAATTATTCTCTGTTGTCAAAGTTATTTATTTTACATTACATCCATACACTGTAAGGTTGTGGTGTCAGAATGCTATTAATCCAGTCTTTGTAGGCTTTAGACGTGTAACATGACAACCCCAGTCTCTGTAGACCTCAGTGTACTGGCTTTAAACGTGTAACATGACAACCCCAGTCTCTCTATAGACCTCAGTATACTGGCTTTAGACATGTAACATGACAACCCCAGTCTCTCTGTAGACCTCAGTGTACTGACTTTAGACGTGTTACATGACAACCCCAGTCTCTCTGTAGACCTCAGTGTACTGGCTTTAGATGTGTTACATGACGACCCCAATCTCTCTGTAGACCTCAGTGTACTGGCTTTAGACGTGTTACATGACAACCCCAGTCTCTCTGTAGACCTCAGTGTACTGGCTTTAGACATGTAACATGACAACCCCAGTCTCTGTAGACCTCAGTGTACTGGCTTTAGACGTGTAACATGACAACCCCAGTCTCTGTAGACCTCAGTATACTGGCTTTAGATGTGTAACATGACAACCCCAGTCTCTCTGTAGACCTCAGTGTACTGGCTTCATCATCATCATCATCATCATCATCAAAATCAAAACAACATGAGAATGACATCATCATTATCATAATGATCATCAGTCATCATGTCATAATGGCAATCATCATTATCTTAACAATGGAATGACATCATCACTTAAAACTCAGGCATCATAATCATGTCCTAATGACACTATTCACATTCATCATCATCATTATCATATTTACTCTCGGTCGTCATAATCATCCTTATCATCATCACAGCTTCATTTACATAAAAAATCATCATGGCCTCATCATCTGTAATTATTATCATCACAACATGAGAATGACATCATCATCATCATGACCCCATCATTTACATAACAATCATCGTTTGGTCTGTAGACTTATGATGACAGCCTCTGTAGACCTCACTTTTGCACTGTCTGTACTGATGCACATATAGTCTTTAGTATACCCTCTGGCAACAAAGTTGGTTGGGGTGGGGGAGTTATACCAGAATCGGGTTGCTTGTCCGAGTTGTAAGACTGAAGGTGAAATAAAAAACTTAAACTTGAGTTTTGTGTGTCAACACAACATTGTTCAAACTATTCCTTTAAAAGAACTGCATCAATTTAAATGATACTGGTACACTGAACACTTTAAACGAGGGGATGTGAATAAAGTATAGAAATTAGAGTTAAATCTCCTCTTTATGGAGTTATGCTCCTTTGTTCAAAAATATTACTTACACAACTGTAGTTGTGACGACCTGTTGTACAACCCCCTGCTTAGTCTTTTCACCTTACTGTTGTAATGACTGTAGACAGTATTCATAGCAACCCCAGTCTCTCTGTAGATCTTACTGTTATTTAGGCTGTAGAGAAGTAGTCATGGCAACCCAAATATCTCTCTGTAGACCAAGTTACTGTTGTTCTGGCTGTATGTAGACAGTTGTATTGCTACCCAGACACTCTCTGTAGACCTAACTGTTGTTCTGACTGTAGACAGTAGTCATTCCAACCACAGTCACTCTCTGTAGACATAACTGTTGTTCTGGCTATAGACAGTAGTCATTCCAACCCCAGTCACTCTCTGTAGCCCTAACTGTTCTGGCTGTAGACAGTAGTCATTCCAACCCCAGTCACTCTCTGTAGACATAACTGTTGTTCTGGCTATAGACAGTAGTCATTCAAACCTCAGTCACTCTCTGTAGACCTAACTGTTCTGGCTGTAGACAGTAGTCATTCCAACCCCAATCACTCTCTGTAGACATTCCTGTTGTACTGACTGTAGACAGTTGTCATGGCAACTGGTCTCTCTCTGTTGACCTTTTGTGTACTGGATGTAGACAGCTGTCATGGCAACTCATCTCTCTCTGTGAAGATGTTCTGTTGAACTCGCTATAGACAGTAGTCATGGCAGCTCCTGTCTCTCTCTGTTGACGTTCTATGTACTGGCTGTTGATGGTTGTCATGACAACCCCAGTCTCTCTCTGTATTCCTTATTGTTGTACTGGTCAGATGGTACCTTGCCTGTACATTCTGTGAACCTAACATACACATTCCCATCTTTGACTTTGACAGCATGTGTTCTTTGTTTGATACCGCTGCTTTTCCATACCACAGGTTTACTAGGGTTATGGGGGTCGCAGGACTGTAATAAAAACAGGCCAGTCAAAGAACATGAACAGAAACGTGATAATTTACATCAGAAGGTGTCCTAAAATATTATAATGGTGACTTACATAGAGTTGCCTCCATTAAAATCTTTTAAAATGCATCATAAGTTTATTATTCATTACTATTAGAAGATTTTTTACTGGATTTTAAGAATTCAAACTCTTGGAAGTGCATCATGCTAACTAATACCACTTCATCCTATTTAGTTTTCATGCACCAAAAAAATACTATAATGAATACAATGGGTCCACTGAAATTCTACATACCAATAAAATGACATGTCGCAGACCTCAAATTTGGATTCCCATATTAACAGTCTTTATATGAAGTTTCAAAGTCCAAGATGGAAAGGCAAACAAATCAGGACTTTTTGCATGACCTTGAACTTTGACCCCAACATTAATAGGATGCCTCCACACCTCAGGGGTAGTCATCATGTTAAGTTTATGGTGAAAATGTAGTCTATACAGTACTTGAAGATTCCATAAATAATTTTCACACAACAGGTCACAATGTCTGCCCTTTGACCCCAAAGACAATATGGTTTTCCTCAACTGTCAAGTCATCCTTAGATGTTTCAATGTCCAAAGTGAAAATGTGTTCTTAAAGGTCTGAAAAAGTTTTGTTTCCACAACAGGTCACTGTGACCTTCAACCTTTCAAACCTTATCTGTAGGTGTCTTGTGAAGTTATAAGACACTAGAAAGTCAACCAAGTACTCACACATGGTCTACCTTAAATATCCTGGTAAATATATTAGCATTACTAGCCAGGGTAACCTTTACCATTGACATTGGAACCAATAGGGGTTCTTCTTACACCAGGGTAATAGTCACCCTGTGAAATTTAATGACTACCCAAAGAGTGAGTTCTTAACAGGTCACTGTGGCTGACCTTTGACACCAAAATCAGTAGAAAAATAAAGAACAAATCACTTATTTTGGGAGGTAAAATGATCAAGACTATTTCCATTTTTATCAGAAATTTACCCGAATTTTTATTTCTTTAATTTGCGAAGACTACATGTCTATTTAATTTGCTAAATAAATGCAAAAATACTGGTATGTAAAATTAATGGTGTTTAAGTTAATGATATCATGATCAAAATTTTGATGTAGAGCGGGCATTTGATATTCATATACAATAAAACCTCAATAACCCTAAATTTGTTATCTCAATTATCGCCAAATCACATTATAATACTAAACATTTGTATCACAGGGTTTTACTGTAGTAGACATCAGAGACATAGCATAACATTTAGATATAAATAGAGTATTCAGATAAACAGGGTATTCAGATAAAAGGGGTATTCAGATAAACAGGGTATTCAGTTACACAGGGGTTTTAGATAAACCGGGTATTCAGTAAAACAGGGTATTCAGATAAACAGGGTATTCAGATAGAAGGAGTATTCAGATAAACAGGGTATTCAGATAAAAGGGGTATTCAGATAAACAGGGTATTCAGTTAAACAGGGTATTCAGATAAACAGTGTATTCAGATAAACAGGGTATTCAGATAGAAGGATTATTCAGATAAACAGGGTATTCAGATAAAAGGGGTATTCAGATAAACAGGGTATTCAGTTAAACAGGGTATTTCGAAAAAAGGGGTATTCAGATAAACAGGGTATTCAGATAAGCAGGGTATTCAGATAAACAGGGTATTCAGTTACACAGGGTATTTAGATAAACAGGGTATTCAGTAAAACAGGGTATTCAGATAAACAGGGTATTCAGATAAAAGGGGTATTCAGATAAACAGTGTATTCAGATAAACAGGGTATTCAGATAGAAGGAGTATTCAGGTAAACAGGGTATTCAGATAAAAGGGGTATTCAGATAAACAGGGTATTCAGTTAAAAAGGGTATTTACATAAAAGGGGTATTCAGATAAACAGGGTATTCAGATAAGCAGGGTTTTCATATAAACAGGGTTTTCAGATAATCAGCTGTCCCAATTGGTTACCACAAAACTAGACGTATATAGATTAATTTTATAATATGAACTCAGCTGCAATTTTAAGAAACAAACTCGTCTACAATAGCACATACCTGGTACACCATTTCTCCACGATCAATGGCTACTTTGTATTTATGCCATGGACAAACAATGCAAGTCTTCCCTCCAAAGTCCTGAAAACGGAGGTAAGATCAAAAGGCAATCATGACAAGAAAAACAACTGTAGCCAAATACTCTAGCATTTCTTCATTTTTCATTTTGCAAATTATGGCACATTAATGACTTGGCACAATGTTGTCTCCTCAAATCTTTATACTAAATCAATGTTTCTAATCATGTTTGTCACATGATTTTGAATCTTAATGTAGTTACACATACCTCTATATCCCCAATATACAGAGGTCCTCCAGCATCTGAACAGAATAAATATTGAAATTACAGTCATGAGATGATCTGACCCGAGAGTGAAGCAGATCAAGTGTAGTGTGACAGATTGTGTATGATTAGGTTAGATTGTTAGATTACAGAGACAATGCCTACTGCATCACCTACATTGCTCTGGTATTTGAACAGATTTTTGCAATAACAATAAAGGAAACATTGCACTGGTATAAATATTACCTCCTTTAAGTTATTTATTTTTTCCATTCCAATATAACAGAAATCTTCTGATGTTTTTTTACACTTGAAATAATTTTCACAATAACAGTCATGTTTCTATGTTAAAAAAATCTTTACACATAAACAGTCTGTTGTGTAAATGATAGAAAAAGGTTAATGACAAATTATTTACGGTAGCAGAAACTATCCAAGGCATACAGGTTTGTATTTGTCTTAATGATGATAATATCTCTGTCATCCATTTTGACCCTCTTTCTGTTTGTGTCTGTTACATCTGACAGTGGGCACACCAATGTCCAGTCATCCTAAAACACAACAGGAACTACATCAGATGGCAAATATCACATCATAAAGCACTTTTGCTTTTGTTTTGTTTTGGGGTTACATATCCTCACAACAGCTGAGGTTATACAAAGGCCAGTCTCTAGGGAGATACTGCCTGAAAAGCAGAAAGAGTAGGTACACATGTATTTGTAGGAAAAGGATATCAGTTGCAATAAGGGCAACATATCAATCTCGGTTTCTCTTCTGTACCTTAAACAGATGATAATTATAATAAATAATAATATACATGTATAACATTTGATATAGCACCCTATCTAGCTAGAATAAGCCACTCTAAAGCGCTTTACAGAACATAGATATACAATTTACACAATCAATACAATTAGCATATATATTAATCAATACAATTTTGAGGAATTCACGGGAGCTGTCTTATCAGGCACTAACTACTAGTCCTATGCCACCTGGCTTATATCTCCCTATGTGTGCATGCCTGTGTGTGTGTTGGGAGATGTATTGTGTATTGTATGATACAGAAGAAAACCATCAAATCTGAATTTCCTTTCTTCAAAGATACATGTAGTGGAATACAAAAGGTTTATATTCTTTCCCCGAACCTAAAGGGAGAATAAATCTCTTAATTATATTAACAATTTTATTCTAATACCTCTCTTGTGAAAAACTGAATTTTCTCCCCCAAGGAGATGTTTTGTAATGATTAGCAGATGGTGCAAAGGTGAGCTAAGATATTGCTAAATGTCAACCTAAGATTGAGGTAAGTCTTTCTTTTACAAAGAAAAGTGAAGAAAAATAATGATATACAAAATGAGAATTAGATTAGAGCTAAGTCTGTGGCATGGGATAGAAAATCTTCATAATTGATTGCTATGTCTAAGGCAAGAGAAATATCAGTACGTGACCAAGTATTATATAAAAGCTTTGGCACACTAAGACAATTATCAAACATCTGTCTAGTGATTTACACCATTTCTTTATATTTACAAAATATAAGAGCTGCCTTAATAAAACACAGTTATGCAGTCAGTCTGTTGTAAAGTTAATATTTTAGGAAAAAAAACACTTCCACCCGTTACTTTCATTGTACACTGTACTAACATTTGCAGTACCGTGAGTCTTTATTCATGACATGTTTCATTTGATATTCATAATTAGACAATTTCACAAACCAGTTTGCAGATAACAGGATGGGCACAACGGCGCATATGGGTAATAACCCTGCATTTGGGTAACAGTTACCAATTTGAGTAACAATTTATTCTTATTACTGAAATGGGGAATAAAGTGAAATATAGATACACAATGTTCTATTAAACACAATTGCAACTAAATCCTATAGATAACAAAATGCTTCATTAAAGCAAGTGTACAGATGCTTGTGGAGTGTGGGATTAAATTGCGTACAGTGATGCCAAGGTCAAGGCAGATATCCTGAATCAGCAATTCACTTCATTATTCACTTCAGAGAATCCCTTGAACCCACTACCCAATATGGAACCAAGTCCACACCATACAGTCCCAAGCATCACAGTACACCAGGCTGGGGTTGATAAACTCCTTCAATATCTGAACCTTCACAAAGCAACAGGCCCTGATGAGGTCTCATCCAAACTATTAAAGGAAACATCAAATCAGATAGCACCAGCCATGACATTGCTCTTCCAGGCCACCTTAGATTTAGGCAAAGTCCCAAGTGAATGGAAGTCAGCCAACATCACACCATTCTTCAAGAAGGGAGACTGAAGTTCCCCTGTCAACCACCGGCCAGTGTCACTCACCTCTGTGTGCAGTTATAAGGTCATGGAACATTAAGTCCACAGCCATATCATCAGCCACTTGGACAGCCATGGACTGCTGACAGATAGCCAACATGGTTTCAGGAAGTGACGCTCCACTGAAACTCAACTTATCCTGTCAGTCCAAGATCTTGCACATAGTCTAGACATCAGAAAGCAGGTAGACAGTATACTTCTGGATTTCTCCAAGGCCTTCGACAAGGTCCCATACAATCGATTGCTGACGAAACTACACCATTATGGCATCTGGGGCCACACTCATAATTGGATAGCGAGCTTTCTTATAGGATGTACACAAAGTGTCGTTCTCGATGGTCAATCATCACCCGCCACCACCGTTTCATCAGGAGTACCCCAGGGAAATGTCTTGGGCCCACTGCTCTTCTTGATCTTCATGAACGACTTGCCATCATCAGTCTCATCAACTACACGACTTTTCGCAGACGACTGCCTGATGAACAGGAGGATCAAGTCGCCAGAGGACCGGGCCATCCTACAGAGAGACCTCAACAAGCTTCAACATTGGGAGGACCAATGGCTAATGCAGTTCAACCCGGATAAGTCTGAAGTGCTGCAGGTTACAAACCGGAAGTCCCCACTGCTTGACGACCACTCAATCTCGATCCTTGGCTAGGTACTGAACACGGTCGACTCTGCAAAATATCTCGGCTTGACATTTCACAAGAGTCTCAGCTGGGCCACGCACATAGACAAGATCACCAAGAAGGCGAACTCCACCTTGGCTTTCCTAGGCAGAAACATCAGCTAATGCCCAATCAACATCAAAGTGCAGAGCTACTCCACTCAAATGCGACCCACCATCGAATACGCCTCTATCATGTGGAGCCCAGCTAAGAAGGAGAACATCACCAAAATCGAGGCTGTGCAGCGTAGGGCAGCTAGACTCGCTACTGGAGATTTCCAGCGCACAAGCAGTGTAACATCTATGGACTCTATGCTACAGCAACTGGCAGTCACTCCAGACCCACCAGGAAACAACCCAAGTCGTCATGCTATACAGGATAGTCTATGACCTTGTGGACATCCCGGCGGATAGCTACCTATACAGAAGACATCACTGCAGACTAGAGGCCACACCCTGCGTTTTCCTGCGCCACACACTAGATCAACGGTGTACAAGACCTCCTTCTTCCCCATAGCCATCAGGCTATGGAACAGATTGCCAGGAGTGGTGAAGGCCGAAAGCCTGGACAGCTTCAAGACCCAGCTGTCCAGGGCCGCCTAACAGTAGATGACTCCGTGTTTTAAAAACGGACGAAATCTCACTGCTAGTTTAGCGTTCTGTTTTCAAAAACAAAATACTTGTAATTCAAACTTTTTCTGAAAATGAACCACCATAGGTACATAGGTAATGTAGTCTTTGTCAAGAATCAATTAGAAACATTCCAGATACAAGATCTGAATTTTTAAATATCAATGAATAACTGTCAAAATTGTACCAATTGTGGTAGCGTGACGTTAGTCAATGAATGGGATCATCTAATGCAAATGTGACAGGTTAGCATGATTTTTTTTTTCTGTGCGCCGTTCTGCCCAACCTGTATACGCGAACACAATTCCCCTTCTCTACTGTACAGTACAGTAAAACATGAAGCCGTCGTTCGTCTATTTTTTATCGGATATGCTTAGGCTGCAGTAGATAATTTAGATAACGTCGATTTCCACGGTACTCACAAGTGGTTCGGCCATCATCTCTGTATTTTTTTTACAACATCGTGATAAATTCGACACTTTAAATAGGAAAAAAATAATTGGAACAAGCATCAATATCCAGTTGTGTTGATGTTGTCAATATTGTATTTCTTCCTCCACAACAAAGAGTTCCACTTAAGACGGCTGCGGTGCCAATCGGAAACCGTCGGTACTTTCCGTAAACGAGTATATGCGCGCGTATAGGACATTAATGACTTATTAGAGAAGAGTAGTCTGTGAGATAATTTCATTCGCCTTACCAATGTCCCCTACCCGCAAGACTATATCTTATAGTACGGATGGCATTCACCTTTCGATATGATTCCGCGCCTAGCCGGAATTGGCCGAGAAGTTGCGATTGCGTTTGAGGAGTTTGGCAGGGCGGCAAACACGGATGAAGAACCAAATAAAACGGCTCTTTTTAGGTTCATTGAAAAAAAGTAAGTAGTTATCTTGTAATCGGGCTTGTGAATTGTTGTTAGCGTTGGCTTTGTTCATAGCCCGTCATTGTTCTACTGATTGTGTTGTTCAGAGACGTATGTGTTGTAGGTTGATATCCTGTGTATTTCGTAGACTGGATTGTCTGTCGTAGTGTTTATACTAACTTTATGTAAAGCTTCGCTTCGAAAATCACAGGAAGTTTGAAATTCTTTCAACAATCAATAGTTACAGGAAATACGGTCAAAATTACTGTTATTATTAGTTTTTAACAGACTAGGCCCATAAGTCTCTATTGTATCCCCAATGTAACGATTTACAAAATCTTGTCCGTAAAAAAAGGTTATTCCGAAATTGTTCTAATCTATTTCAAAATAATAGCTGTGAACATTTTCCCATAAAAATGATATATATTTATACTTTTATTAAAACGTTCTAGAAACTGATGCAAAACGTCACACAGAACCCCCCCCCCCAAAAAAAAACTCGTTGGGCAACCTGGTAGATTTTAAAGGCAATATTTGAACTTAGTGTTTTAATTTATCATTGATATATTGTTTTTGTATTTTTGTCTTCTTTTTTGTTATATTATAATGGACGAAACAAAAGTTTAATTGTAATATTTTTCAAATCGTAAAAAAACAAAACATTTAAATACTTTTTCGAACCACATACATTCATTATAAATCAGCTAAAGGTAACGCGGTGGTCAAATTGGATAAAAATATAACATCTTCATGTAAATGTCTAGTGAAGACCATGTACAAAACGTGTAACTGAGTTCCTCGAAGTAATAAGAGTCCACCAACCTGTGAGTGAAGTTTCACCACCAGAAGGCGCGTAGCTTTCAAACAGAAAAACTCAAAACAAAGCTTGTTGGCACCCCTTGTCCCCCTACGTACCAAGTCCCGGCCCTGGAACCGCTCCTTAATACCACCCCTCGAACAAACACTAATTTTGGTTCCTTTTAGGGTTATTTATATAAAATGAAAATACTGGAAAGTCGAAATACCGCGAAAAACACGTTGTTACACCAACAAACTCGTTTTAAGGCGAAAAACGCGAAATAACGCGAACAAACACGTAATTACGCAAACAAAACACGTTATAACCCGAAAATTCACGTTATAACTGAGTGAATACCTAATAACGCGAAAGTAAAAGTCGTAATAACGTGAAATAAACACATTATGACGCATTTTAAATGACATCAAAAGGAGCCAAATCGAATTCTATGCATATCACATTGAAGTTTTAACGCTTTGATTTGAATTGACGTCGTGAACGATGGACACAGATGTTTCTGTCTTGTGTTTAAAACAATGACTTTGTCGACAGACTTTCAGTACGTGTAAGGCTTTTGACCTCAATGGCGACTGATTTAGTCTACATTCCAGATCTTGATCAGACACAGTATGGTGATTTATAAGTTCTCCATAGCTTCTACGGCCTTCACCAACAAATCGACGGTCTTTAGTCCAGAAGCAAGTTCAGCTGTCTCTTCTTAATTGTAGTTGAAATGGATAGATATTGTTTTCCAGGTCTGTTCTAAATGTCTTTTGTTGAGTTCCGCAAGAATAAAAGTTGACTTTAGATTTATGCACTTTATATGTGCTTACAAAGAAATGTTGACTATCTAACAAAACTCCTACTGACAGAACCAGATGGTCTATGGATGCATATTTTCATCTACCATAGTCCTTAACTATAGTATAAAACATTTGTACACTGACTTATATAGTGACTTACCCCTTTTTAATCTCTAAATTTACTTCACTTGTGTTATACTAAAGATTATGACTAGGGCATTTGTTACAGAAGTATAAAGAACAGTTAACATGAACGAGACAATATTTTCATATTGGCTGTGCTTAGACGGTTACTGACCCCATACAGTGTCGTAGAGGGTCGGTAAGAAAGGCTTTGTTTGGTAATTGGAAAACAGGTTTATAACAAACTGTTACGTGACATCACTTTTATTTAAACATGAAGAGTATTGTCACTAACTGGTGTTGTTATGGGGTTGTTTCACTAATTTCTATCATCATTAACATCGAAATATGACGTAACAAAGCATATAACTTCACTTTGCCTTCACGAAATCAGTGCTTCCTCTGAGTACATCAGATGGGACGTGATGTTCGAAAGATATCTTTTACCTTTTCATACTCTTTCTCCAAATGTCATCCACATATATTCAAATGTAAATCCTTGTACGATGCAGCTTAACAAGAGTGGTTATTTGTCAATGTTTTACATCGAAACAAGCAAAATCGATCTTGTTATTTTTTTTAATCATGACCAAAATAGATGTTGTTTACTAATCTTACCTTGTATCGTATTAGTTTAATCCGATAGAATACACAGTACTACACAAACTGGTGTGACGCACCTGTCAAAGTTCATAAGACCTGTCGATCAAAAAATCCAAATGAAGAGCTCTTTGGTGAAGTGTATCTGACATTGTTTGATGTTTCTTACACTCTTCTATTTACTGGTACTCAATGGGTGTTACGACGTAACATATAGTATGCTGTTCTTACTTTATTATCGAAACATAGTGTGTAAATTTTGATCGTACCTTAGCCGAGCACCCTATTAAAATTCTATATATTCTACTAACAGATGTAAATGTGAAGAGATTGAAACTGTTGAGTAACATACAGGGGAAAGAGGTTGAGAGCACATATAACACAACAAATCGGACATAAAAATACACAAAGGTAAAAAGAAAAGGTTGAAGGAGAAAGTGTCATCTTATTTTCCTTGTTCAACAAAAATAAACCAGTATTCAGTATCAGCCTGCTACCCATATATGCCCTTCATTTGTATATGAATTTGGACAGTGCTGTGTTACATATACATAATATAAATTTCAAAAGGTTTTATGTATTAAAATAAAAAGACAATGTTGACAAAAAGACACCATAAGTTTATCATAAATTTATTATCATTTAATTTAGTAAAAAAAATGTTGAAAAAAACACCATAAGTTTATCATAAAGTTCATATGTAGTAAGATGGTCGTTTAGTTTTCTTTTTTAGTATTTTTTAATCTTGCTGTTGTTGTTTATCACCACCGTGTGTGTTGACGTGTAATTCTAAACCGAGCCCCTGTGCGCACAAGTGGACCGTGTCACTTTCGTTTCAATGATGTTTTAACTTTTCGTTGATAGGTGCTATCTTAACTTATATGTATTTTGCGGTTTGAGGCAACTCGGCGAGTGTTACAAAGTGAATCAAATTCATTATTGTGCAATTTGTCAAATAGTTTACATTCACAAACTTAAAAACTGATAAATAAACTTGAGATAGACTTTTTTTCAATTTTGATTGTTTCATTAACAATGTACATCAATATGCGTATAGAAAAAATATAATAACACATGCTGAACAACTAGGAAAAAGGCATTTGTGGAAACAGTCTATCCTTGAAACATGTTGGATTTAAGAAACGATTGCACATTAGCATGTATATCTGACAGCGTTTAGGCAGCTTAAAGTTTTTATCAATAAACGTGAAACAGCACGAGACCTTAATATGTATTGTCGCAACATTCTCGGATATTACAATGTAAGCTATTTAGGAACAGAGCTTAACGACAAAAAGATTGTTAGTTTCCAGAAGAGTGATTTATGAATATTTTGTTAGGTTTTTTTAACCAAAGGATTAGTTAGAGTGAGTTATTGGATGTTATAAATATGTTTATTGAATGTTAGGAGTACTTTAATATAATGTTACAATACAATTACATATTGTGGAGGATGCTACGGAAGCAAGGTACGTGTAATCTGTTATTATTACCACTAGACCGGATAACTCGGATAATATCAATGTTGATGATGACATTATAACTCTCAGAGAAGATTTGTTTCCGTTTGTTAGATCAATTTTGATGATTTGGTCTGTAGTGTCTGGGGCAGTGGAATACCGTTGACCAGGTAGTGCCCTAGGTTACAGTGACAGTACGCGTCAGAACAATGTAGTTGTTTTTCTACCATTGTTATCATTAAGTTTTAATAAAAGTTCTGCAAATTATGGTTTGATTATTTTCATCCTTATATTTATCATTGTTAAAATAATTCCGGAAAATAATTCCAATGAATATTGCAGTTTTTGGTAGCAATACGGAGATCGTTAAGTGTATTTGAGAATTTCGTTTAAATTACCTCACAAGCTTAAAACATTAACATAATTATTTTCAACTGATAAGTTTAATTTGGTTTCTAATATTTGAAATTTAGTCACAAAGGCATAACACATATTTGCTAAAAACGGCGCAAGATTACGTCATTTGCAATGTCGTCTTTCGTCAATTTATAACAACAAACTAGTGAGTTTTTTCTGTATATCACTATCTGATATTATTGCCATTTTCGAGAATTAAGAGAAAAAAAGTGTTCCTTTCATAAAAATGATAAAATTGGTTTGAGTGTCTCAAACAAGCATGCGTTAGATGATTTATCTTGTTTAGACAGGTAGTAGTCCTTTGGGCATGAATTGCATTTACGAGCGTCTTTTCTAAAAATGAAAATTATTGTTTTTATAATAAATAAATCCATTGTGAAAAGATAACGATTACATGTCTTTCATTAAATGCAAATAATCTATGTAACCAACATCACATTTACATATTTATTGTTTCAAGTTTTATTCATTCACTCCGACACACTTACGTGTGTAATAAGAGGTCACATACATATAGTAAATTATATGATACATGGCGTGTGATGATTAGTACAATATTACAACATTTTCTGCAAACAATGATAATTGACTATATAAGGAGCACAATCTTGTACAGAAATTAAGTTAATATTTTTTCAAGCTTTTCTAGGAATCTACAAACTTTTGTGTACATTTTTTCTTTACATATATTAAACAATCCTTGCATTTCTATTTTACTTGGATAAGTAAAATAATATTTTGGTATATATTTCTCTCTTAGACATTTAGACATGAATCCCTTTCACATTTAAATAAGTAATGAAATTCATCTCCAATGTCGGAATTACATAATGTACATGTTCTTTCTTGACGAGGAATACCTAACCATCTTCCTTTTTCTACGGGTAAATGCATTTTATGCTCCTTCAACTCAAAGATAACCCAACAGCAAATTGAAGTTGAAAATGGCCACCGAAGGTGACATTTAAGGACAAATTATTACATGACGTACATTTGATCACAAGTTAACTTACATAACGTAGATTACAAAATGTACATCAATACACACTGTTTTGCTAATTATCTAATTATGACCGTTAGCCATAGTGGGGTTGTAAAAATCCCGTAAAAAGTACTTGTGATATTTTAGAAGGTTGGAAAGAGGGTGGGTTTGAAATTGATCCCGTAAACTGCTTAACTATAAGATACTGCTTAACTATAAGATAAATAAAGTTCTTGCAAGAACGAAATTTACACACGATTTTCCTATCATTTGTATTAAGCTTAATTAAATATTTTTTCTTGTTCAAACTTTGTCTTAAATATTGAATAATATATGTTTGTCCTCTAGAGGAGTTAAGAATATCATCAAACCATTTCTGTATAAATTGATCCTTTAGTTTACTTTTCACCAGCCTCTTAATTTCGTCTTTTGAAAAAGAACATGTAGATTGATACTACAACACAGTTCAGACCAGTTTGGGATAAACTATCTTTAACATACGCGAGCCATTTAAATGACACAGCTCCATGTTGTAGGTTGTATTATTCCCTGTTTGTATGTATAAACTGTTTGTTGTTTTATGTTTATTAGTAATTTATTCATGAAGTATAAATCACTCGTTCGAAAATCGATTAATGGAAATATCAGATATTGTCACAAATGCCAATACACGAACTTGTAGTTCCGTATTTCAATACTTTTAGACGAGATGAAAATCTATTTCTTTCGTTAAACGTATTCGACATTCTCAAGCTATATTACGTCTTAACGTTGTTGGTCCTTTGTTATTTTATACTGTAATTGTCGCAAGCCGCCGTGTTTTGTAAACCTTATTTAAACTATTCATATTACAGTAATGCTGTAGTTAGCCATTGTGTTGTGTCTAATATTAAATATCTATGTTTCAGCTTTGTTGGCAACGGTACTACTTCTGAGTGTTGTCATTGTAATAAACATCATCACACCGTCTTGGTCCCCAACACAAACCAGAACTGTTGCGATGCAACCGATGGACGTCCCAAAGGAACTTTTGTGGAAAAGCGACAACAACCTTCTTTGTCCAGAAAAAAGACGAAGATTAGGAAACTTAATGTTTGAGTACGCTAGTGCGTACGGTATAGCACGAGAAGTTGACAAAACACTGGTCATTCCAGTTGACGATACAATACGTGATGTGTTTAAGCTTACTGCTCATGTCATTCCGGAGAGATCTAACACATGCCTGACCTTTGAGCAACGGTGGCCAGAATTTGGTGCTGTATATGATAACAGAATTTATGACGAGGTTAACGATACGAAACAAAATATTGTGTTGATTTCATACTTTCAATCTTGGAAATATTTTGAAAAATACAAAAATTATATCAAAAAAGAATTCACAATAAAGGAAAATATAGCAGCGCAAGCGCATGCTATATTACAGAACATTTCCAGAGGGCTCCACAATCACCTGACATTTATCGGTATCCACGTCCGGAGAGGTGACTTGTTGTTTAACGAAGTCGGATATAATATTGTCACAGGGGATTATCTCAGAAAAGCAATCGGACTATTTGAATCGAAGTATAGGGACACAATATACATAGTTTGTTCTGACGGAATGACCTGGGCACGTGTTGAGCTATCTAATGTAAGGAATGCAAAAATAGAATTTGTCCTTACCGACAAAGCTGAAGTGGACTTTGCCGTGTTGGTGGCATGTAACCACACCATTATGACTGTAGGAACGTTCGGATGGTGGGCTGGATACCTCGCCGGAGGTGACGTCATCTACTATAAATATCCCATTAAAAACAACAGCGGACTGGCACCAGAGTACGATTATACTGACTTTTTCCCCGCCTATTGGATTGGTTTGGAATGACAATATGTCACGTCATATACTGAAAAACAAAATGTATCATAAATTATGACCTTTTGCTGGTTGAATACACGTCAATAGACAGTTGTGACTACATTACTCTAAGCTAGTCTTTCGTTCGGTTTGGTGTTTAAAGATTCGGGAGAAGAAGGCCGAATGATCTAGTATCAAACAGTACATCAATAATTGACACGTATCAAACAATACAACAATAATTGATAAGTATCAAACAGTAAAACAATAACTGACACGTATCAAACAATACAACAATAATTGACACGTATCCAACAGTACAACAATAATTGACACGTGTCAAACAGTATAACAATAATTGACAAGTATCAAACAGTACAACAATAATGGACAAGTATCAAACAGTACAACAATAATTGACACGTATTAAACAGTAAAACAATAATTGACACGTGTCAAACAGTATAACAATAATTGACACGTGTCAAACAGTACAACAATAATTGACACGTATCAAACAATACAACAAAAGTTAACCAAATGCAGTACCCAAATATTACAACATTAATATACAAAATATCAAGCATCAAACAGTATATTTTTTAATTAATAGATCATTAACCATGTATCAAACAATATAATATTGATATACCAAAAACAAGTAACCATACGCGTTTAGTATTAGTAAACAGACTTACCAGTACTTCATAAGTCTGAAAGAAATGAAATAAGATAGCAAAAATCGGTCGATGATTAGATAGGAAATGCTGTTATATCTTATGTGTTCAGAAATAAGCTAGTTATTACTTAATATCTAATGTCTCTAGATGGGAGTTGTTTTTGACTCTAATATCCGATGTTATTGGATAAAAGTTGTTGTTGATTAATATAATCTAGCAGTCCTGTTTGATGTAGACAGAAAATCTGAAAGATATTTCTCTCACATTTTCCTATCGTAAAAATAAACTATAATGGTGAAACCAGTGCACCGAGCCATCATCAATGGTGCATGAAATATTTGACAAAGGTGATGACGCGAAGATGACGTTTTTAGAATAACAGCGCATGTCAGCTATTTCCCCCCTAGGTAAGTAAAGACCGGGTTTATTTCCTTCCTTGCAAAAAAACTAAAGTGCACTTGTGAAGTATGGGAGAAATGTAATAACTGATGTCATTAGACGAGAGCTGTTGTTTATGTGATAAGTCATTAGATGAGAGCTGTGTTGTTTATGTGATATGCGATTATATGAGAGCTGTGTTGTTTATGTGACATGCCATTGGATGAGAGCTATGTTGTTTATGTGATATGCCATTAGATGAGAGCTGTGTTTATGTGATATACCATAAGATGAGAGCTGTGTTGTTGATGTGATATGCAATTGGATGAGAGCTGTGTTGTTTATGTGATATGCCATAATATGAGAGCTGTGTTGTTTATGTGATATGCCATAATATGAGAGCTGTGTTTATGTAATATACCATTAGATGAGAGCTGTGTTGTTTATGTGGTATGCCATTAGATGAGAGCTGTGTTGTTTATGTGATATGTCATTAGATAAAAGCTATGTTTATGTGATATGCCATTATATGAGAGCTGTGTTGTTTATGTGATATGCCATGAGATAAAAGATTTGTTTATGTGATATGCCATTAGATGAGAGCTGTGTTGTTTATGTGATATGCCATTAGATGAGAGCTGTGTTGTTTATGTGATATGCCATTAGATGAGAGCTGTGTTGTTTATGTGATATGCCATTAGATGAGAGCTGTGTTGTTTATGTGATATGCCATTAGATGAGAGCTGTGTTGTTTATGTGGTATGCCATTAGATGAGAGCTGTGTTTATGTAATATGCCATTAGATGAGAGCTGTGTTGTTTATGTGGTATGCCATTAGATGAGAGCTGTGTTGTTTATGTGATATGTCATTAGATAAAAGCTATGTTTATGTGATATGCCATTAGACGAGAGATGCATTGTTTGTGTGATATGCCATTAGATGAGAGCTGTGCTGTTTATGTGATATGCCATGAGATAAAAGCTGTGTTTATGTGATATGCCATTAGATGAGAGCTGTGTTGTTTATGTGAAATGCCATTAGATGATAGCAGTTGTTTATATGGTATGTTGTTTGTGTGTTATCTAATGTGGGTGGAAGCTGTTGTTGATGTATTATCGTATTTCATTAGATGAGAGCTGATATCTATGTGTTATCTAATGCCATTAAAAAGGAAATGTTGTTGATATGCCATTAGATGATAGCTGTTGTTTATGTTCTATCTAATGCCATTAAATAAGAAATGTTGTTGATATGCCATTAGATGATAGCTGTTGTTTATGTACTATCTAATGCCATTAAATAGGAAATGTTGTTGATATGCCATTAGATGATAGCATTTGTTTTTGATATTTAATGTCATTAGGAGATGCTGTTGATATGTTGTTAGAAGAGAGCTGCTTATATAACAATGTACAATGATGTCACTACGTAGGATTCGTCGTTGATGTAAGACATTTTATTGAACAGTGTTCTTGTGATTATTTGTGACGTAGGTTTATTGAAGGAAAAGGTTGGTAGATGTACAAAAATAAGAAAACCGATAACCTCTTATTTTTCATAGAAAAGCCCAGTGGTTATATATGTTTATAAAAACAATTTGTTAAGTTGATTTTTAATCACAATCCGTACCAGGTATTACAAATTATATTGTTAAAAATGTTATCATGCACACGACCACTCTCCCATTATGCAATGTAGTTCCTTTAGATTATTTTCATTTTTATCTTCAATGTGCCCCATAGCGCAAATCGCGAGGATTTTCTCTTTGAACGGTTTGAGGGACGCTGAAGAAATTCTACAGTAGAGGCCAACGCCTGATTTCCTTCCATCAGATTGAAGTGTCTGTCATCATTAAAGACAATGAGGTACGAAAAATTGGATAACTTGAATATAAAATGACAAGGCATAAAAACAAAAGGAATGAAATCACGAAATTCTGTAAAAATAATAATATATATATATATACATGTATATAAACATGAGTTTAATACGAGTAAGTGTTTATTTTAGCACATGTCCCCCGTCATAATGCTCCGCAAGAGGCAAATTTGAAAGTATCCCGAGTGACCTGCGTCATGATACTTTGGAAGTAGAAGCGTTAAATGTATCACATGCGAGCCTCGCCATGATGTCTCAAATCAAGGAAAGCATGTACATGTAATGCATTTAATTTACCGTATAAGACATAGAACACGTATTTAAATCTCGTAGGACCCTGATATCTCATAGATAGGACGAAACACAAGCAAAACCAGACCCGTGGCAGCTTGAGGCATATCGGGTAAAAAAAACCACTTACCTTACAGGTCAACAAATCACAAATATCTTGGAAATTCTGATATAGAATAGATTCTTTAACTGAACATTAACTATGACATGACAAAAGCAGAACAGGTAGCGTATGACTTCTGAGAGGTGGAATGCACGTTTTATCATAGGGTTAAGAGGCGAGGTGTTTAATTCTATAATAGGAATTTAACAGGATATTAGTATACACAGACATTGCCACCTCTGTATCTATATCAATATCGTTTGAAATACTTTTTTGAAAACATACATTTAGTCTATTTATAAGAAGATATTTACATTTGCTCTGCATCCTTCCACTGCAATGCATTGAGAAGGCAAATGTTGGTTTGAGACAATAACAACATTTGCTATTGTAACGTCATCAATTTCTATTGTAACGTCATCCATTTCATTGTTGTCAAGACTTAATTTGCTGTTCAGAGAACTGTTCGAAGTATTTATTTATTTTTATTTATTTATTTCCAATTCAACAGACCCAAGGGTCCACTAACAGAATGGATAACAACATTACAACACAAGTATAAAATATCACAGTCAGTTATGCATGTAACACAGACTAAAAGATATTCATATGTAAAACAAAAGGAATTAGTGATAGCAAATATTCTTTAACCGTACTTGAACTCGGCGAGAGAGGAACAAAACATATCACAGTCTGGTGCAAAAACGAGATAGTCAAAATTACTTTGAATCCGGTTTAAAATAGTATACTTTCTAATTTATTCTACTTCTCTGGCAGTAAAACTGGTTAAAACGAGTTGATCGTAGATTACGACCAGGGACTAAAAAACACATTTGCTTGACTAAATATGGACAATCAAAAGCACTATTAACACATTTGTAAAGAAATACACAGTCTAAAAATGCCCGCCTATGTTCGAGGCTAGGAAGATTAAAATGCCTACAAGTGTCAGCGTAAGACATGGAATTGTAGTCAACGTGTGCCTTAAAACATAAAAAAAAAATCAAAAATTTACGCTGGACAACTTCGACCTGGTGAATTAAATATGTTTGGTAAGGAGACCAGATCTGACAACAGTATTCTAACTGACTCCTGACAAGACTTATATATAGAGACCTTAAAACAGGTATTTGTTTAAAACTTTTACATGTACGTTTTATAATACCTAGCATTCGCATTGATTTGGAAACAGTACGTCTAATGTGGGTACTAAAACTCATTGAAGAGGTCAGCCAAAAACCAAGATCTTTCACACACCATTCATTCTTCAGGTTGTCGCCGTTCATCGTGTAATTAAAATTCATACATTTCTTCTTGTTTGTACAAATGACCTGGCAGCACTTCAATTATAAGTAATTATATTAACTTAATAAAGCATAACTACTCTATGAAAATGTAAATATGAATAGTAAATATTTTAGCAAATGTTGTTTTGGTCCTATAACACACATTGCTAATGCTGACAAACTTAAATTCATTGCTTAATTTGTGTGATCGTATTACACCTCCAGACATGTTGTTTGAGTATTTTTGATGTGTCTATGATATTTTTGTGTGTGCAAGAAGATATACTTAACACGAGGAAGATGTTAAGTCTGTCGTATCTTTTATTTTCACTTCTGGAAGATTAGCGAGGAGCCAGTATAGTTGTATGTGGTAACAATCATAAAAGTATATGAATTAAAGAATCGGGCAGGTATCTAATCTGTATTTGTAAATAGCTTCATAGAAAAACAAAACAAAAACCTGGTCTACTAGAAGACGGACACTGTTAATTTCCATTGCAATATCGAAAGTCTGCTCAATATTCTTTTAAAACATTCAACTAAAATATTAAACATGCGGGCATCCTACGTATCTATGTATTTTGCTTTCCTGGTTGCACAGTGATGCTTAAGTGCGACTTCTATTGACAAAAATATTAGTATCTGCGATTGTTATTTGTAGACAAAAAAGTGGTATTCCATGTCTTTCAAAAGTGAAATTAGTTTAAATGATGTACAGGCGACATATAATGTGGAGAGGTTTATATTTGAAGAGAGGCTTTTTCAGATAACAAAGGCGATTAAACGTTTTCCATTAACTTAAATAAGCTGTACCACAATGTGTTTTACTGCCGTTCCTATTGTGGTAAGTATAGGGCTTAGTGGAGTCTATTATAGGCTAGTTTGATAACAATGCGTAAGCTCATAGGGTCTTTTGTCAACCAGAACAGTATCACACAAATTATTTTTATCATTTAACACGAAATAAATAAAACAAGATATGATATATATCACTTACCTTTTCAAATTAAATAATAAACACTGAAATAATTACTTTTCAGTAAATTTCAAAAGTCACAACAAAAACGATGATATTGATTGAGCTGTCAAGCCATCGTTGGATAGGGTTTATAGCTTAAATGTATAACAGATGTTTCAACTAAAATAAACTATGAAGGATTATAATAAACCTCGGTAGCAGCTGGGGAGCCAAATTTACATTTACACCATACTACATGTGTTAGTGGTCTGCATCACCCCGTGTTCGTGTCTCCCAGGTATAAATAATGGGGAAAATATCACACAAGAAACTGGAGAAGTCAGGTATGTTATGAGAATAATTGGGTAATAACGACATATGGATGTCAACCCGCCATTGCTTTTTCTCTAGGCGTAGTTGTACCACTTGCAACTATTTTGTAATCATTAATATCATATGTGAAGATTTATATGCAATAATATTAGCAGAAGCATTTTAACAAGCAAATTATTATACTAAAATGAGGGATGACGCTAAAGGCGTTTCAATGGATAATAATGATAAACGAACAAATAGGCTTAAAATGAAGCTAAATGACTTTAATCTAATGTGTAAATTTGGCTTTTTGCTTTACCAAGAGGGAATGACAGGCGAGGTGGATCGCAAGAGAGGTCATTTTTCATGTTTTCTCTAGTTCGGTTGTCATTTTTCTTAGAACTTTAGGGGCAGATGTTTTAAAAGTCATGCATCTGAGTTGTTAAATCAGTGACTGATACTTTTAAGTAGGATTACCACAAAGTAAACAGGTATCAACATGTCCAGTAAGTATAAAGCCATAGTAGTCACTATCCTGGAATGCTAGTAGTTTGTTCGCAACGAAAACCTTATTGATGAGCCTGATTAATGTATTTTGCTTCAAAACTTCACTTTGTCTCAGATAAATATGTTCCATTGAATCTGCCGAAAGGCATAACGACAACGCCACACGTGGCGAAGAAAACGTTTACAGGTCCGTAGGCCATATGTTGTGAAGGTTTACCATATCTTTTTTTTTCTTTGGGGTTTCCTCAGTACCTTTTGTTCTTTGTTTTGTATTGAATTGAGTTCGGGTTCTGCATTGATAAACTGGTGATACGTTATTTTCAGATTTTGAATTCCCTTGTGTACTGCTTACGTGGTACTATTTTCTATATAATTTTCCAATATTTACCAGGTAACGCTGCTTTCACCGTCATCCTTGTCATCGGAATATTCACGGTGGTGAATTATCTGTTCCCGCTGACTTACAGAGGGACATACAGGAGACTGATCACGTCGGCGATTTATCCATCCAACGACAAATCCTGGGCCAACAACCTTCTCCTATGTCCGGAAAAAATCGGTCGACTTGGCAACACAATGTTCCAATATGCAAGTTCCTATGGCATAGCTAAGGAAGTACAGAGGGAACTCGTACTTCCAGTGGATGACAGGCTATGGAAGTATTTTCATATAACGGCAAAGGCTGTTTATAATAGGACATTCACATGCGAAAGATGGAAACACGAACGAATAGATTTTACCGGAATATGGGAGAAACATATATACGAAAAAGTAAAGAGATCTCCCGAAAATGTCATGCTAAGACATTATTTTCAATCATGGAAGTTCTTTGAAAAATATAAAAAAGAAATTAAACTTGAGTTTTCTTTAAAAGACTCAATAAAGAATTCAGCGAATAAAATTATCCGTGATACTGCCATTACATTTTATCCTATAGGAACGGCTGTGACCTTTATTGGTGTTCATGTAAGACGTGGAGATTATCTTCGTATAAGGTTTTCATCGTTTGGTTACAATATAGCCCCGTCAGATTACGTTATACGTGCTATAAAATACTGCCTATCGAGGTATACAAATCCAATGTTTATAGTGTGTACAGAAGATGTGGAGTGGACAAGGGATGAACTCAAATCCCTCCCTGACGCACACATCGAATTTGTGTTTCATGAAAACTCACCGGAAGTTGATTTTGGACTGTTGGTGGCATGTAACCACACTATTATGACAGTCGGGAGTTTTGGATGGTGGGCGGGATACCTAGCCGGAGGTGACGTCATCTATTATAAATATCCTGTTAGAGAACATACAAAAGCACGAAAACAGTTTGACAGCAATTTTTCTGATTATTTTTATCCAAACTGGATCGGTATGGAGTAGATGAAAAAATGGCCAGTTCTAGTTTCTGTACAACAATCAGTAAGCAATAACCAATTATTACAATTACTTCATTGTTCTTGCCTATTTCACACAGACAGAATAACCCGACAGTTAACCAGTCCTTTTTGTTTATTATTTAGTAAACATATATGTGAACTGTCGCCAGGATACCTCTTTTTTTCTTTACACACAATCTTTTCTGCAGCAGTCTGAATGTTATCTCGTTTGCGCATTGAAAAAAACCCGTATATCATATGGCGCAGTATCTAATGTATATCAATATAAAAAATATAATGTCAACACACAAGGCTTAATTCGGAATTTGGAGTTGATACGGAAATGGAACAGGCGAAAAGACAACAACAAGAAAGATATCACAACAAAAGGAATAGTTACCGTTTACTTCCGTGCAAGAGATGAATGACAGCCAGGTGAATTGATACATAAGTAATATATATAGCATTAGCTACAGCATAAAACGCGTTTATAATCTACAAACCTCTTTCTTATGTTCTGAAGATAGGTGACATTTCCTTATACCATTGGTGTCGGTCACACTTGTCCTTCCTTAGTTATTTAACTGTCAACGAAAGCAAAGAACTATAGCTAAAAGTCTGCTCATGACAAATTAATATTCATTAAAAGGAAATGCCGCAACATTGTAAAGCCGAAGTAAAAAAAATGTTTGCTTTTTAAAAACCCTTAAGACTGGTATGAATATAAATACCCACTTTTTTTTTTTTGGGGGGATGAATGCGAATATAAATAACACGAATATGTTACTGTATGATACTGTATAGCATTGTATGCCAATGTACGACATCGTATAACATCGTATGACATATAACTGTATGTCACATTTTGACAATGTTTTTCATTGCATGACACAAGATGATACTATATATTAATTATCACAACACCACGATATGTTGTTTGTGACTGAAATGGTTATTGGTTTATATACTAACCATGCTATTTGGCGAACAGTATGAATTGCATTAAAAAAAATTCTCTGATCATCTCTAGTGTTTGATTCTTTCGAAATTTTCTCTCCTCACAGATCTACCCTTATTATGTTGTCAATAGAAATGCATTTTCCTTAGAAGCTATATTCAGTTATTAAGGTAGGTCCTCAGTAACTTAAGTGTGGAACATCAATTCCTATTCTTCAAATCGATAAAAAAAAATCCGAAGTTTTAGGAATACAATAAAAACCTTATCGATATCTAACAAGAACATCTAGAACATGTAAACACTTAGACAGTTTAGCAGTAACGGCCTCGAGCTGAGCAATTGTGCACCACACATTCGTTTAAAACAATTCCATCATAACAGAGCATGCGGAGGAAGAAGATAAACGCATTTTCATTTTAGTGATATTTACTCAATTAAGAGGTCTTGTAAAAACTAATAAGTTATATTTGTAAAACGACGATATTCCGGACAATAAAATATTCTACAAGTCTTGTATTTTCTTTTTCACATTAAATGTACAGTAATGAATCCAATATCACTAAACACTGTTTCAAGTATGCGATACAGCATTCAGGAAATTATATTTGCCTGACTGGGATATACATCTTATGTATAGGATCTGTTTAATATTGAATTTTCTGACACTTCTAACCATGTATAATTATATGAATTGTAGCCTTAATGATATTTTTAAATTTAAGTACATAACGGGGACAATGAAAAAAACATATTAAGAGGAAAGCATGGTATACATAGCAAGAGGCTCGACACATAAAATTCGGAGGACTAGACAAGGTAGGGACACCTAGTTTCAATGAGTCATTATTTATATATTTAATACTGATATATAAAAACACTCTTGTACACAGATATATAATGGCAGAAAAGTCATTTTTTGTTGACTCTTAAAAGTCATGTTAGCATTGTTATAAAAACAGATATGTTAGAATTGAATAAAAGGTGGAAACGACTTATACAAAGCTACATATGATGAGTCTCATTAATGTTATTTTATAGAAACATATATCCTGATTATTTTGATTACTCAAACATCTAATAACTTCTGGAAGTTTAGAAATCTGATAAGTAGATGCGATCGTCAATGTGTTGAACAGTAACGGTCCTGTCCCTACACTTTGTGTGTACAGCTCTCGTTTTCCTTAATTAACTTATTACGATAGTCTGACAACTCCTCATACTACTTTCAATCAAATCAACCTTAGCTTTTCTCTCTCCCATTATAAAGAACTATACCTTTCAATTTTCTAGTTCCGGGCTTTATGATAGAGAGGCTCATTGTCGGTATTACATTTGTGTTGACAACGCGCGGTAATTAAAGAAACGAATGTCAGGAGAAGTATCTCGTCAGGTAAAATGTAAACATGTAAATATTAAAAGGTGGGATTCGTGCCTATGTTAAAATTCCCATAGACCCTGCCTACTCAAGGATTTTCGTGAAACTTTACAAGTACTTCAATCATACCATGATCATGACTGAACAGAAACAGTAACTTTTATTATAACTTGTATCATTATCCTTTAATTTGGAAAAACGAATGTCAGATAGTATGAATGCATGCCAGATTTCGAGAAGGGGTTGGGGGAGGAAGGTTTTTTAGGTCAAATAGACAGATGTTGTTATATTACCTTAATTTGCCTACTAATTGTATTACATTTTGGCAGAAAACAATCAGTGTTTGGTTTTGGTTTTGTTCCATACTTCTGTATCAATCACCCATCCTCCCATAGCTTACGGGGAGGGGGGGAATATATAAATTATCAGCGCACTAGCTAGACGGGGACACACACAAAAGACCTTCAAAATACTAATAGGACTCTCTACCAACTGGGCTATCACAGACGATACCCCATATCAGCAAATAACTGACTTTTTAAAATTAGACACTCGTTTACAAGATAGTTCTGATGAAGTTTGCTTCGAAGCATTTCCCAGAAAGTATAATATACCAGCAGTATGTGCACACATTCCAACAGTTCGCTTACCTGTAGGGCAAGTACAGTAATAGTCTTTGATAGGGTCTGTGGATAATGATGAATCCAGACATTGTATTTTGTTTGTGATTTATGTCTAGAATGAATCTTACCCCTGAGCAAACCAGATGAATGTTGATGCACCCAAACCTCAAAGTCACCTGAGGAAGTAAACTGTTCCGCTATATATCATGCTGCTTGCTAAACAAGTTCTGGACATACTGTATACAGGTTTTGAACTGAAAAGAATTCTATAGTATTATAGTATAAGAAACTAGTGTAAGACAATGTAAAAACTTAATGAAGATGAAAGGAGAGTGAACATGTAGTCATAAGACAATAAAAAATTAAAAAGAAATAAGCAACACAGAACAAGTTGGAAGGAAAGCTTGCAAGGCAGCCAGACAGCAAATGTGTGTTGTGAGCAAGGTATACTGGAGTGGTGTTATATAGCATGGCATCAAAAGGTGGCTGCCTCCAAGGATGTCCTCTAGGTCCAGTAGACTATGTTCCCGGTTCTCAATTTAAATTTTTAAAAATCACTGATGTTAACAATACCCTAAAACGATTTTTAAAGACTTACAAAGATGAGACATCTAAGAAAACTTATATAAATAGACTTTGAATGTTCAAGTGTGATTTTTGTGTTCGATATTTTTAATGGAGTGTAGTCATTACTGACTAAAAACATACAAAATACATATTAATAGAATGCTTAGTGTCTCCACAATCATAATTTGAAACATCTACAAAAATCAATCCTGATTGTGTGTACTTATGACATCAAATATCGGGGTACCCCCTAATTTTCAGGTAAAACACCAATACAAGCCCTTTCTGCCTTTTCTTTGCAAGCTTTAAAATAATAATATCAGTTTCTGAAGTGGTTTCGCCCGAACATTAAAATTGCAAAGTTTGAATAAAATCCATGCGTGTGCAGATTAAGAACCCCACCTTTTATCGACATTTTCCATTCTCCTCGTGTGATGTGAATATAATCCGATTTATATGACGAAATCGTTATGTCTTAAGTCGGCAAGTAAATGTTAAAATATTCCACCACAGAAAGACGCTAATTACATGGAAGGTTAGCTCCATCAAAATTGTCGGGCAATCTCCTTCGAAAGAGAGTAGATTCTCTGGGTACTTATGTGTTATTTTACGCTCATTAGTTTTATTGACAATATGTAAAAGAAGTTAAATTTAATCTTTACTTAATTTGCTAGCGATAAAATTCTTTTAACAGATACAGGTTGATGCAGTTACACCATTCCCATACTGCTTAAGTAGGTATTTTGAATTCTACATACAGTGATATCACTATGAGAGTTTATTTACCTGTATTTATTTGAAAAATATGGCATTCCTATTCTCTCTCTTTTATTTCTACATAATACAGTTTTTATCCCCATCTATAAACATTTGTTGGAGGATTTAAAAGACTTCTACAAATCTGTACATAAACTTTATTCACAATCATTCGTATAAAAATGAATACAAAATAATAGCTACCGTCCAGCTAAAATCAATGTAGCTTGGACTACGACATTTAAAACCCTACTTGTCGTTTGATCAACCGGTCACAAGCGGCTGAGACCAGTTACGCAATGTACTTATATACATTTCTCTCCCTCACATTTGTACATGGAATTAAACCGGTGATGTACCCTGAAACAAACTAGAAATGTCGACAGGATATTTTATCTTACGCCATAAGAAAGGTATAAACTACGGGGGAGGGGATAACAGACAGCTATAATGTAAAATGACCTCACAAGCATTCAACAATTCTTGAATAAGCTTATTTCATTAGATGCTTTCAGATATTTGTCAAATATATTTATACAAACTGTCATAATGTTTAATTTACATGTATATTTTTTCCCCCAACAGGTCTTGTGTTGATGTCATTGATGATGGTGATTATGATGATTATCCTGGAAAATATCTCCATCCACTTGTCTTCCAAAAGCAACGAAAGACCAAACAACACATTTTCATCTCGACAATCTACTGCCATGACGGTATCATCGGACGTTAGGAAAACGCTGAAAAACGATTTTAAACTATGTCCAGGCGCAATAGGGCGTCTTGGTAATCAGATGTTTGTATATGCAAGCACGTATGGCATAGCAAGGTCTGTCAACAGGACACTTGTAATTCCAAAGGATGACATTTTACGAAATGTGTTCAAACTGACCGCACATATCATGCCAAATCGTTCCCTTTCCTGTGCCCGATGGAAGCATGTGTATCCGAAGTTCAGTAGCCGCTATGATGGCAATATTAATAACAGGGTGATGGGTTACAAAAGTGATATTTCGCTGAGGAAATATCTCCAATCTTCGAAATACTTTGAAAAGTATAAGTCAGAAATTCTGCTGGAATTCTCATTGAAAGATGAATTAAAGGTGGTGGCAGATTCAATTCTATATCAAGCTGCGAAATCGTTGTCGGTGGATTCTGAAGGAAATACCGTCACATACTTGGGGTTCATATTAGGCGTGGAGACCTATTGGTGGAAAGGAAGGTACAATTCGGGTACAATGTGGCCACTGGGACTTACATTAAACATTCCATAGCATACTTCCTGTCAAAGTTCTCTAATCCTGTGTTCATCGTATGTTCTACTACATTAAACTGGGCTAAGCAAGAACTCAGAGACCTAACTAATGTACATATAAAGTATGTTTACACTAAAAATCGGCCGGAAGTGGACTTTGCCGTGTTGGTGGCATGTAACCACACCATTATGACTGTAGGAACGTTCGGATGGTGGACGGGATACCTCGCCGGAGGTGACGTCATTTACTATAAATATCCAGTAAGGAATCATTCAAAACTGTGGGAACAATTAGATTCAAGTTTTTCAGACTATTTCCCATCCCTCTGGATAGGAATGGGTTAAGTGGCAAGTTCAACGTTTGAGAATCGGAGAAAACACAATTAGAGCAATTGAGAAAAAAGCAAAGCGATAAGAACAAGTTTTAGTGTAACAATTGTTTTTATACTACAAATGAGGTATTATAACTCTGGCATCTTATTTATCTTTATTCATTTTACAGAATTTACTCAAGAGTAAAATTAATGTATTTGGCATAGACTTACCCTGATGTTTAGTTTTAATCAGTGATAATTTCTTTAATTGTATATAGGAACTATAATTGTTTTACCTGCTAATGCTAAGGAAAAAGACATATATATCTTTGATCAGCTTTTTCACTTAATAATGTTCAACTGAGGAATACAAACTAGGGTAAGTCTGGGTGTACCTCTCCATCATGACATGACCGAGCACTCAAATTATAACTGGATACATCCAGGTACTCTAATTAAGATGAAATTTTAACAAAAACATCCCTCCTTAGCTACACTTTCTTCTTAAGGTGTAAAAGAATCATAAATTTAAAATATTTTTCAGATACTTTTCTTTTAAAATAAATCTGTTCTATCCAGAAAAACGCCGGAAATGATAGTTAAATGAAAAATGCCTTGTGAAAATGTTATAAGATATTTATTGAGTTGTCGCAAAAAAGTTGTTGCACAGGAGGTTGAAATTGGTATTGAAATTGAGTAAATGAAGCATGCAATGTAGGTTCCATTATCATTTATGAGGATTAACGCAGGGATACAAACGCTTGGATACAAAATCAAAGTACTGAAAGTCCTGAAAGCAAAGGCAAAAGATATACCAAGATAAAAAAAATATTTGGAATGGGGAACAAAGTAAAGACAAAGTGCCCTTCATATTACCTGTCGATGTTGTTATGAATCCTAGTTTTATGTAAATGTGTAACGCTTCTTTAATGTACAGTATATCTTTATAGGTTTGTCAGAAGAGGGGTACCAAGTTTTTTCTAGAATATATCATTTTAGACCTTAAGATAATTCATTTGCATATGAATCGCTCCCCTTTATCCATATTTCAAACGTTAAAAACAGAAATTGGCATTTACCCCTTTGGCCAATAACTGATTATTTTCAACCATTACAGCCAAAATTATTGCCTTATTGCTTATAAATCATAAGCAGTTTTAGTTAAGTTATTGACAAAGTTTCATCATATTCAAGTCATATTTGACTAAATTATTGTGGAAACCAGCTTCAGAGCTTTTGTTGTTGAATAATATCCTCACCAAGTTTCATCAGAATATGGCCTTATCAGACAAATTTGGTGGGCAAAACCATTGAACAATCAGAGCGCAGTATGCTAATTGATTTATTTATGCATGGATTTCGCTCGACTTCGAACTAATCGTTATCTTGTACAGCGTGGACATTGATAAAAAAAATACTAATACAATCCGATACATTGTTGCATGTTTCAATATTGAATAAGATAAACAAAATATATACACACACACACACAAGATTAAGAGAGTAACATTATTTTCCCTCTATTTCCATTGCATAATTTTTTTACAGATTTTTTTTATAACATATGTGAAGCTTTATCATCTATATGGGCCAGCGTTTGAAATAAGATGTACATATCAATTTCAAATATATTTGAAAAGAGTACTGCAAATGTACCAGCTAGATCACATTCTATGTTACAATCAAAATCGTCACGGTGTCAACAAGCCGTGTTTAAAAAGAACACGGCCACAAACCGAACGGTTGTTTCAGCGTGTCACTCACTGCCTCTGGCTCGTCGATTGGTCGATAGAACGTTTGAGGTCGGTGTCGTCCTTGATTTTAGAAGCAGTGTACAACATTGTATCTTTTTCGGAGACTTGTTGTTTGCGCGCATTGGCAACTTCAGATTACGCATACACGTATATGGAAATGTAAAAATTACATTGCATGTACATGTTTCAAACCCTGTGTCATGACTTGAATATTTCGTTGAATGTGAACATTTTTGTGAACTGTAATGGTATTTCTAATTATAAGAGGGCAAAATGAAGAACATTATAAATGCTTGAAAGCTCTCCATACCGGCCGCTACACTGAAAAGTAATACCATAGAACGGTGCAGGATTCGACAACTCATTCACTTGACTTTTGTAACGTTTACATGCAAATGTATACGTGTTAAATATATTTGTAAATGATTCAAGCCACATACATATATATCTATATCAATTAATTGCCATATTTGACTATTACGTTGAGAATATCAACATGCTATTGCGTATATGCATTAGCATGATACATACACAACATATACAACAGAACAGAACGCACATTTCAATAAGTTATTCTCTTTGGTAGCAGAACTAAATGTAAACAAAATGATCATAAAAGTCAGCTTATAACAGCACATCTCCTGGGGGCTGAATACATCCAAACTAATTACTTAGATGGTGGTAAAACATGTGTACATAAAAAGGTACCAGTAACAAAACAAAATTATCTCCCTTTTTATATGTTAACCTTCAAATTGAAAAGCCTGACAAAGTTGAAACAGTACTCTTGATGAAAAAGAAGGAAATACTATCTTGAACCGCAGTAAAAGAAAAATGACAATTTAAACACACGCACTTATATATTCACTGGTTTTCATCATCTCAATACAAAAGATGAAACAGAGCACATTTTCTTTCATCCATTGGCATATTATCATGAGTGTAAAGCAACTATAACCCTTGTTGCCAAGCAAATACCAGAATTAAGAATTGTTGTGTTATACATTTATTGCTATCTTTTCAGATTTTGCTAAAATGAACACAAGTTTTGATTGTCTTAAGCTCATCATATCAATGTAATGCATGAAACTTCACCCAGAAGTTATCTTACAATGACATCACAATCCACCTCATATTTCAATCACTCTTTTCTATTTGTTTCAAGAAAATCGAAACTAACCAGGAAACATGGAGATGTCCATTGCACTCCTTTGTTTTTGCAGGTGCTTAGGAACTTTATCTGTAGATTTTGGGATTGTATAGAACAACTGTGCCCCAGTATGAGGATTTTTGGTTTTTAGACATTTTGTCATAAAACAAGTTATGTTCAGATTTCAAACAGAAGATACTTTCAAATTGAGCAAACTCAGAAAAGGTTGAAAAATAATTGTACTATTTTATCTATAAAGCTATGAATGATTACTGTTTTAACAGGTTAAGTTTCTGAATTGGAAACCGAGCCCTGTGTGACCTATTAATGATCATTAGATAAGGCCAAATTAAACAAATCTTGTGTTTCTGCTAACCCCACAGGTACTGGGCACACTAGTAGTAATATAATGTGTATATACTGTATAATATATTATACACATATTACTTATTAGTGTGTCCAGCACCTGTGGCCAACCCGATCTACCCTAAATTTGTGTATCTACAATACCCTTAGGTTTTTATTGGCAGATAGTGATATGCACTGTTAAAGTCAGAAATCCTGTTCTATATATTAAGCGCAAAAAAGATATTTTTTGATTAAAAAATAAAAATGCCTAGCCAGTACTTACCTGCCATATTTTTTTCTGCGGATGATAGCAGAAACACAAGTAATTGTTTTGGCCTAATGTGTCTGTCATATCATAATATGTAATTAGTATACATTAAGTATTTATGTACTTCTATGATTTTAAGTTTCCAAAACATCAAGTAGTATAACAATTGAAACTTCAATTTCAGTCATGATCACAATGAATCTTATGATACGATGTTTATAACATATTTCTTTCAACTGAATCAGAAGAAATGCAAGGCCAAATATCCTCACGAACAACGTGAAATCAGTTTGTAACTTAGCCGAGTTCAAAAATTTTGCAACGTCTGGAGCAAGACATTCCTTGTGTCACTGTTATACATTAGTGTCAAAAGTCAATTCATTTTGTTTGTTATTGCATAACCACTGCTATACATGCCGTTGAAGCACCTTCCTTTTTGTCATCGCCGCTAACAGCATACATCATTCCCTGCGGCTGCGGCCGCATGCTTGGCCACAACTCGCTATCCAGAACCTGCCTTACATTAAGTCAAAATGAACACAACACTCCCCTGCATTTTCGTCTTTTCCGCTTCGCGTTGCGAATGATGTCTAGGACTACACAAAATGTAAAAAGTAAAATATGCGCATGTCTTGGCTTAATGTAAGCGAGATCACTAGTCTTCCCGTAATACATGATTACTTCTTCTTCTACATCTACCACTTGGTGGCCACCATCAATCAGCTGATTATTCTGCCACTTGTTGTGCGATGCGCTAAGTTTAGGTGCAAAGGTAAACACTTGATAAAAGGTTTGTGAATTGTGCAGTTAAAAACAAGTGTTCAGAATATTATTCCTTTGTGGCCAAGTGAGACTTGAAGGATTCAAGACTCACAGCGTCTACAGTGCTGGCGGGTAGCGCATTCCAATCCCGGATAGTTCTTGGGTAGGAAGACTCCTTCCTTAACTTGCATGATGGAATTTCGAAGGATTTAGCGTGCATTTCTCTGCTATGACGTTTTGGAGGTAGGAGTTTCCCTGTGGCATCAATCTTGACTTGGTTATTGCTGATCTTATAAAGGGGCCCTAGTCTCGCGTTTCTCCTCCTTTCCTCAAGTTATTCCCATTCCAGGTCTTTCATAATTACTGTGACAGATGTTGGACTGTGATACGAATAGCGGTTTCTGGCGTATCGGGCGGCTCGTCGTTGTACCATCTCTAACTTGTTGATGTAATTCTCTGATGAGGGTCCCACGATGTACATGCATATTCCAAAATGGGTCTGACTAGGGACTTGTATGCCATGCCGTTGATAATCGGGTTGTTAAAGTTAAGGTTCCTCTTCAGAAAGCTGATGATGCTATTAGCCTTTTTACATATATTAGAGATGTCTAGATTCGATTTCCGGACTGTTGTAATTGTGACACCCAGGTACTTGGTAGATGTTACTTGCCCTAGAGTATATGAATGAAGCTTATATTCTCTCTTGATGGTATACCTTTTCTTGGAGATAGTGATGATGTTACACTTGTCAGGGTGGAAATTCATCATCCATGTAGTTTCCCATTGCGCTAGACTGTCAAGATCTTCCTGGAGATGTTCACCGTCTTCCTGTGATGTTATCGTCCGGTACATGATATTATCGTTTGCAAATAGGCGAACTATGTATCTTATATCCTCGGAAGGTCATTTATATAATAGAGGAACAGGCTTGGACAGATAACCGGTCCTTAGGGTACCCCAGATTCAACTTCTACAAAGCTAGATGTTTCCCCTTCCACTAATACAGTCTGTTTCCTGTTTCCCAAGAAGCTCTCTATCCATCTGTTTGTCTTGCCTTTGATTCCATAGTGACGTAACTTATGTGTCAATAGACTGTGGCTGACCTTGTCAACGGCTTTACTTAAGTCCATAATCTAACAATCTGTCTGTTTACCTTCGTCGATGTTTCTGGTAATATCATCTATGAACTCCACCACTTGAGTGTCGCAGGATAACCCTTTGCGAAATCCATGGTGCAGGTTGTATAATATACTGTTGCAATCAGCATGCTCCATGATGTGACTAGTTACTGTGTTTTCCATGATCTTACCTACTACACATGTCAGTGATACTGGTCTATAGTTGATGGCCTCAGATTTCTTTCCTTTCCTAAAGATCGGGCATACTAACGCAGTACGCTATATAGATGGTACTTCCCCTGTGTTGTATGAGCTGTTGCATATGATGGTAAGTATTGGTGCTATGTCTGCGGCAAGTTCCTTCAAGATTCTTCAATAATCTGGTCCAGCAGCTTTGTTTACCTTCAGGTTATGCAGAAGTTTATATACTCCATTTACGGTTATGTGTATGTCATCAATAGGTGGAAAGTTTCATGACATTTTACATCGATCTTCAAATTCAGTTTGATTGAGTGTTGTTCCAGAAGGTAACGCTTTCTTAAATTGGTTGTTAAGAATGTTGGCGTTGTCGACCGAGTTTGGGTGGAGCAGTCCTACATCTTTTAGAGGTATTGTGTTGTTTCCGTCCGAGCGTTTGTGTCCAAAATCTTTTCATACATCCGTACTTGTTGTTTTCACTCTGATCTGTAGTCTGTGGTGTTACTATATCCTCTACATATTTCCAGTATGCTCTTCGTAGTTGAAATCATTCCGAAATGTTTGAAATCATTCCGAAAGTGAAATATATTTATCTTCATCAAAAATTCGTTTGTTGTTGTTTTTGTGCATAATGAAAAACATCGTCCTTTTATATAGTAATACTTGACGAATAAATGAAATAAACAAATAACACCAACAGACATACAAAATGTAGGCCTATCGGCGCTTGCGTTTGTGACACCTCATCTTTTATTGATATAAAAATGCAATAAAATATCTTACGATGAAAATGAAACAAAATGATAATACTGCGAAGATACACAAAACCCTTCAGGTTAGAATTCTTATAGGGCAAAGGCTAGTACTTATATTAATACCCGGCCTCCTCCTCCCCGGCCGAGTATTGAAATCGACCACATGCCTTGTAATGGAGCAAGCCCGGTGTGAATCACACGGGTGCGATTTTAGACTTAACTGACAGGATCCGCATCCATAAATAGGTTTGAAGTTATACTCTGCCTAAAATATCGTAAAATTATCAAGTTTACGGAGCAAGGGAAATCGAAATCGGAATTGACTGCCATGTTGGAAACTTCGTCCGTCTTCCGATATAGGTCAGACGTCTTAATATGGGTGCCATGACCAAATATGGAAATTGTAGTAAACATGGCGGCATCAGTAGTAATACTATAGTTGGCCTTGCATACCATATAAGGAAACGGGTAATTGAGATAACATCACGCGTGATCTAATATGGCGGTCGTTTCTATTTTTTCCCCAGGACGGACTTCGCTAAAGAGTTTTTAGTAAAGATTAGCTATTTCAACTATTATGCAATATTTTGATAACACTATACTCATATGAGGCGTGAACCATATGTTATCTTACAGAGTAGCACTCTTGATTTTGCTCATGAGTTGGAATAGTACCGCTTCGTACCTCTGACAACGCAATATATAAATGTAGGCAATTGCAAGTTACAAATTTCAGCCAATAGGAGGACAATATTTCTGTGTAAAGGCTATCAAAGCGACATTTCTCAGGGTAAAATACAGTATTTTTTCACAAGAATGCGAAGTTGCAGAAGGATACTTAGTTCTAACTAAGAATAAGATTATATCTTATGACTTTTGAGTGAACTTGAGTCCGTGGTAATGGATTTTATTTGCAGTTCGCTAAGTATTACTGGTAGGTGGCGTATGTCTCGTTTATGAATATCTGAGATCATTAACTGAAGTATTTTCACTGGAAGTTGCGTGTAGCATGCATGACCTACAGCCAAGTGGCAGTTCTCGATTGAGATAATCAGGGTGCATTTTAAAGAAGAATATGACATTGTGATAATATAAGATCATAGGTTCAACCAAGGAAATGAATTATATTTACAAGCCATTCAAGTGAATTTGAGTCCAAAGTAACACATAATAAAGACAGTAGGTCCGGTATATAAGATTCAATTTAGTACAAATTCCTGCCCATAGGGCGGAGTATCTATCGAAACGGTATTTATGAATATCTTAAGCTCATTAAGTTATACCAATAGCTTGCGGCTTACGCCTTAGCTGAAAAACCCGGAACGCCCTCATGCCAGGCGTTACAGGCCAAGTACGGTAATACCATGCCCAACCGTCATTCAACAGACACTGGTTGAAATAGGTGAGGCAGTATTATTAGATGATTGCCTCTGATGTTGGTCGTTGTACGTTCTGCAAGAAATGCATATAGATCAAATATCAGCCCAATCATATCTATCCTGCACCCGCGATATAGTTCCGAAAAACTTACTCTAAATCATCATCTAGGGCTCGTTAATGATGCTAGCAGCCAAAGGTTATGAAATCAAACTATATCTTATCTACTATTGAAACATTAGAGGAACTTCATGAAACCCCTAAATTATACGGATTTAAAACATTTGATTGGATCTGATTAATTTCAAATTAATAGTAAGTGGTCGGGTGGTCGGGTGGTCGGGTGATCGGGTGGTGTAGTTGATAGTGCACTTGCCTTTCACCAAGGCGGCCGGGGTTCGATTCCCCGATCGGACGTGAAAAGGTTGGGGTCATCTGTCAGACTACGTGGGTTTTCTTCGAGTACTCGGTTTCCTCCCACACCAAGACCCTCCGCGCGCTAACATCCGAGTCAACAAGAGTGATTAATATAAGTTGAAATACCTTGTTACATAAATGTTGTAAAATAAATAAAGTTTATATTTATATTAAAGGGTGTATATAATGAACAATGCCTCTACTCAAAAGAGTAGCCGTTAGGTGGCGAAACAACACATACAGTCCAACTTCGTTATATCGAAGCGTTGACTAGAAATAGGTTTAAACGTTAACGTGGTGTCTGCTATATTGGAATAATCTTAATAAAAACAAATCCAAATGTTCATTCACTAAAATCTACCAAGTATACACTGTTACTAAGATGGCGATATATTCCTTTTAACGTTTATAAAACGATCAAAAATATACATCAAATACAAAAACAACTGCCAATATACTATGACTTATTATAACAATAGTAAATCAATATTACTAAGATTACAAGAAAAACAGAGAATACATTAACAAAAATTGCAAACTCCGCGGAAAATACTTGTATTACAAGATCATCTACAGGTATACTATATTACTAGGCTTGCTTACACAATGTAACAACTACTCCCCACTGCGGACATACAGGAATCCTCAGTGAAGTAAATAAAGTTATTACAAAATATGCTAATCCGTTTTGTTGATCACCCTTATGCTGATATAAATCCTACTTTAAATGCAAAATGCATGTTGCTAGCCTAAACACCCTATAGTGGAGTGACAGCTGTTATAGTATGAGTCATGTTTGTAATCACCAAAGGTTTCCTTGTAATCCTCATATTATATGGCATTTTATCTTAAATATATTAGAAAAAAAGACAAAAAAGAGAGCGTCAAAACACAAGGGTTAATTTGGAATTTTAAGTTGAGACGGAAATTGGGCAGTCGAGAAGACAACTAAAGGAGATATATCATTACCTACCTCAAACAAAGGAACCGTTATCGCTTACTGCAGTGTAAGAGAGGCATGACAACAACCAGGTAAATTGATACATACTTAATATAGCATACGTAATAGATATAGCCAAAGACGCATTAAAAATGTCAACAAATATTTTACTCACATCATGACGAAAGGAAAAGTCTTCTTATACCATTGGAGTTGGTCATTAACTTACTCAAGTATTTAATTGTCAAGGCAGGCAAATATTCATTAAGAGGAAATGTCACAACAATTTTTACCAAAGTGAGAATCTGTGAGCTTTTTAAAAGAGTATTGAAAACCAGTCTGCATATGCTTGTTTCTTTTTGTGTTGGATGCATGTGTGTATATATATAATGGATGTTATCTAATTATTCCGTATAACAATATATGTCAATGAACGATATTGAATGACACAATTTGACATTATATGACACTGCATATTGCTGAATGACACAGTTTGGAAATGTGTTTCGTTGCATGCCACTACATGATACCGTATGTATTTACACTATACCACTAAACACGCTATTTGGCAAACAGAATGAATTGCTCATTTAAAACACTTTCTTAAAAATTCCTCATGGTTGTACACTTGTTAGTTTATTTTCTCCATAATGATGCATTGCACTGTTTTTCCTCTGATCATCTTATTTGGTTGATTTTTTAAAAATATATTATCTTCTTCATCAAACTTCCCTTTAATGTTGTCACTTTATGTTTTCCCTTGAACTTATTGTCTGTGTAAGTTAGGGGCCTTCTCAATAAATGGTTATCTTAGTTATACAAACATGTACATCGAACAAGAAAGTTTCGAATACATGAAACCTCAAGTTTAAACATTTTAGAATTAATGGCTTTGAGCTTAGCAATTGTAAATTGTATTTTCTATAACAAAATCAACTCTCTCAAAAAAATATTTCAAAATGCATTACGGAGAGACAATCACATTGTGACATTTCAGTGATAACTACTCGATTAAGAGGTCTTCTTAAAATTATCGCTTATTTCCTGTACAAAGAAGATTTTCCCGACAAGAAAATGTACTGCAAATCATTTTATATTATGAACCAGATATATGTAATGTGAACAGACTTATGATTATTTTCGCAGTATATCACAATAATGAACTCTTACACACATAGATGTCGTATCAAAAGTAGCCGCCTCACTTAGTTATGTTAATCTTCGAAATATTATTTCTGTATTAATTGATAGAACTGATATGTTAAAATTGACATAAATGTGTAAACAACTGATGCAAAAAAGCATACGAGTCTCATGATCATACTTAAATATAAACTATTTCTACAGAATTTGATAACTCAGATAATGTTAACGAACATATTAAAGCGGTATTCTAATGGAATAGCCTTTCGCGCTTAAACGTTGTACTAATTCATGACTGAATTTATAATTGAAATTTCCTTATATAGTTTTGTATTGCATAATTTGTAAGTTCACCAATTCATCAATGCGCCAATGTGTTTAAATTCTTTTTATATGCTTAAATTAATGTCTGCTGAAATAAGTTTGACATTTTTGTTAATAGCATCTCTAGATAAGAAATTCTTGGATTCTGATAAGTGCCTATGGTCATCAAAAAGTTGAATAAAACGGTCTGAGCCCCTTCTGTGGTTCTCCTTTTCCACACCGAACTTATTACGATATCCTGACATCAATCTTTAATTTCTGTCAAACCAACAATTGGCGATTTCTCTGCTCAATCTCAAAGAATTTTACCTTTCAATTGTACTTTTTGAAGGAATATATATGGTAAGGACATTGTCAGCTTTAGTTTTGTTAAAAGAACGCACGTTAATATAAGAATCAAATGCAGTGAAAAAGGAACATTACCTCACTGGTGGGAGAATTTACTTTAAGGTACCCCTCGGTCGGTGTTCTTTACAACTGATATTTTCCAAACAAAATGTGTCAATATGTATAAATCTGTCTTCTTGTGTCAGTTTAATTTTCTTTCGGTATGTAAATTTTGCAATGAAAACAATACGTTATATTAAACGCTGCTATAATATCCAAATATTTTCATGTTAATTTTCTGTCTAACTGAGGGTTATCCATCCGGAGCATCTGCACTTATTCTCCTGGTATTTTTCCAAGGGTCTCTATGTAAATTTGTCTTTTTCATATTATTTATCGATTTTGAGTTTTTATTGCTGTCTTGTTTACATCCGGCATTTCTCTCTTTATTTTCTAGAGAATTATCATTATCAAGTAAAACATCAGCATAACAATATTGAAGTTATGACGACCTTTTCTCCAGTCTTTTCACATGATGTCGATTTCCCCACTTATATGTGTAAATCATTATGTCGCAAGTCGGATAGTAAGGACAGAACATGACTCCATATAATGACGCGTATTTCATCGAAAGCCAGCTCAATCAAAGTTGTCGAACGGTCTTCTTTTAAAAGACAACATTATAGGGATACATATGCAATACTATTTTATTCTCCGATGATGCTAACCTTTTAAATTTCGTTACTTTTATTGGTTATTTGTTGACGAAGCCAAATATAATCTTAATCAATTTGCTTGCGATGTATCTATGTAAACAGTTTTATCAAATAATTTTAGTAACTTTATTTCCAGGCTGCGTAGGTAATTAGTTTCTTTTCTATATGCTATATAAAATATACACCTCTATTTATCTTGGGGAAAAATTATGGAATTCATAATCTCCTCATGATTTCTACATAATACAGCTTTTATCCCCATCTAAAATAATTTTGAAAATCAATGTAGCTTGGACTGCGACGTTTAAAAACCCTACTTGTCGTTTGATCAACCGGTCACAAGCAGCTGAGACCAGTTACGCAATGAACTTATATACATTTTTTCTTTCCCTCACATTTGTACATGGAATGTGAACCGGTGAATCACATTGATACAAGCTGTCGATACTTGTTGAGTTTTGAAGTTTCTCCAAGATAGAAATGTCGACACGATCTTTCATCTTACGTCATAAGAGAGGTACATACGACTGTGAAGGGGAAAACGAACAGCTTCTATAGACAATAGTCTCACCAGCATTTAACAATTATTGTGTTAGCTAATTTTATTAGATCTTTTCAAATGTTTGTCAAATGTATATAAACGATCAATCAACACATAATTACCACGACCATCTACTGTTAAGACATTTAATTAGCTAGTTCCATTAGATGCCTTCAGATATTTGTCAAACATATGTCTGCAAACGGTAATAATGTTTTATATACATGAGTATTTATTTATGTTTCCAACAGGTCTATTGTGTATGTCATTGGTGATGATGATTATGAGGATTATCCTTGACCGTACTTCAACACACCTGTCTTCAAAGAGCAACCAAAGACCAAACGACACATCTTCCTCTCGACAATCTACTGTCACGACAGATTCGGACATAAGGAAAGAGCTGGAAAATATTTTGAAACTATGTCCAAGCTCAGTAGGGCGACTTGGTAATCAGATGTTTGCATATGCAAGCACATATGGCATAGCAAGGTCCGTCAACAGGACAATGGTAATTTCAAACGATCATATCTTACGAAATGTGTTCAAACTGACAGCATACGTCATGCCAAATCGTTCTTTTTCTTGTACCCGGTGGAAACAAGTGGCCCCGAAGTTCAGTGGCCGCTTTGATGGCAACATTTATAACAGGGTGATTGGTAACAAATGCGATATTATGCTGATAAAATATCTCCAATCTTGGAAATACTTTGAAAAGTATAAGTCAGAAATTCTGCTGGAATTCTCGTTGAAAGATGAATTAAAGGTGATGGCAGATTCAATTCTACATCAAGCTGCGAAATCGGTGTCGATGGATTCTGAAGAAGGAAATACCGCCACATACATTGGGGTTCATATTAGGCGCGGAGACCTTTTGTTCGATAGCAAGGTACAATTCGGGTACAATGTGGCCACTGGGACTTACATTAAACATTCCATAACATACTTCCTGTCAAAGTTCTCTAATCCTGTGTTTATCGTATGTTCTACAACATTAGACTGGGCTAAGGAAGAACTCAGAGACCTAACTAACGTGTATATAAAGTATGTTTACACTAAAAATCGACCGGAAGTGGACTTTGCCGTGTTGGTGGCATGTAACCACACCATTATGACTGTAGGAACGTTCGGATGGTGGGCGGGATACCTCGCCGGAGGTGACGTCATCTACTATAAATACCCAGTAAGGAATAATTCAAAACTGCGGGAACAATTAGATTCGAGCTTTTCAGACTATTTCCCATCCCACTGGATAGGAATGGGTTAAAGACTGAAAGCTGCAAGATTAGTTTTCACCGGTGACTTTCAGTATAATCAATTTTGATTGAAAAGAGAAGACATTGAGGATAAAACAAGTCGCATTTCATCATTCATAAAACAGGGCACACGTAGGTATTCTTCTCTATCGTGATACAGCCGGGAACCGGTTTTATGCGGATACATCCAGGCACTCAATTTAAGATGGAAATTGAAATACAAAAACTAAAAAATATGTACTTAACTTCACTTTCCTCTTAAAAAGGTTAAACATTTGAGATGTAGGATGTTTTTCATATACTGTTATTAATCATTAAATATATCTGTACTTTCATGGAAAACGTCATGAAGTATAGTAAAATAAAAGATGGCTTGTGAAATAATATTACACACTTATTGAGTAGTCGCCAAAACGTTGTTGCAAATGAGAGTGAAATTGGCATCGAAATTGAACAATTGAATCATGTTATGTTTTTCCAGGACCATATATGAGGAATTACCACAGGACATAATCGCTATGATAAACAAGAGGCCCAGAGGGCCTGTATCGCTCACCTGAATATGTTTAAAATAATAAGTAGGAAGTAAAGATATATCACTCCATGGTAGGTGCTGTAAGTACATAAAGATCCATCCAGTACTTGATATATAGCGAGAACAAACTTCAAACAGAGCCCCACCCCTATGCCTCTAGGGGGGTCATACCCACCAATTATACAAAATTGAGTCCCCTTGGCCCAAGGATGCTCCAGACTAAATTAGGATAAAATCCCAATAATAAATAAATCCCTATGGTAGAAGAAGGATTTTAAAGGTTTAACCTCTATTTTCCCTATTGGGCCCCGCCTCTCTGCCTCCAGGGGGGTCAGACACACTGTTTATACAAAATTGGTTCCCCTTCACCCAAGGATGCTTCATACCTAATTTGGTCATTCCTAAGAAGGATTTTGAAGAATTTGCTATGTTTTCCACCTATTGGGCCCCTACCTTCTGCCCCAAGGGGGTCACTCTCGCTGTTTATACGAAATTGAGTCCCTTTTGCCAGAGGATGGATGCTCCAGACTAAATTAGGATAAAATCTCTAATCCCTATGGTAAAAGATGGATTATAAAGGTTTTACCTCTATTTCCCCTATTGGGCCCCGCCCCTCAGGTCCAAGGGAGGCCACACCCACCGTTTATACAAAATTGGCTCCCCTTTACCCAAAGATGCTCCACAACAAATATGGACCAAATCCTTTCATTCCTTCAGAAGAAGGAGGATTTTAAAGAATAATTTGCTATGTTTCCCCTTTTGGACCCCACCCCTCAGGCCCCTGGGGGGCCAGACCCACGGTATATACAAAATTGTTTCCTCTTCACCCAAGGATGCTTCAGACCAAATATGGAACAAATCCTTTCATTCCTACAGAAGAAGAATTTTAAAGAATTTGCTATGTTTCCCCTATCGGGCCCCGTCCCTCAGGGCCCTGGGGGCCAGACCCACGGTTTATATAAAATTGGTTCCCCTTCACCCAAGGATGCTTCAGACCAAATATGGAACAAATCCTTTCATTCCTACAGAAGAAGAAGGATTTAGAAGAATTTGCTATGTTTCCCCTATTTGGCCCCGCTCCTCTGCCCCCAGGGGGGACTTCACCGACCATTTATACAAAATTTCGTCCCCTTGGCCTAAGGATGCTCCAGACCAAATTTAGTCAACATCTACTTGGTCGTTCAGGACTAGTAGCGTTTTAAAGGAAAAGTTGACGGACGGACTGACGACGGACGGACGACGGACGCTGCGGTATGGCATACGCTCACCATGGTCCTTCGGACTAGATGAGTTAAAAAAGGAACGCCCACATACCAGGCGTTACTAAGTAGGTACGGTAAGACCACGCCCATCCCGCCAGTCACCAGACGCTGGTTAAAGTATTGAGGCAACATATTATTATATCAATGTATGTGGTCTGGATTAGTATGCAATACTTAGCGTACACACATTATATAACAGCCCAATCGATATCTACTCTACATATTCCTTATAGTTCTATCTGTTGAAACGTATTCCAAGTCATGCATCAACTACTCCCAATTAAACCCTGTTCAGATTTATGACTTTTTATGACTTTTAGTGTGTGTGTGTTATATTTTGAAATGCTGACGTTATTAAAAAAGAAGTTGACTTGTGTAGTATACGATAACAATACTTTGATGTGATAATTTCTATAGCTTAATCCCTTCAAATCAAAACGCCAGTATTAGTCTGAGGGGAGGATATGGTAATAGCCATATGATAGCCTTTTATTTGTCACACACGCTTTGCAGATGTTGTAATACTATTATAACGCTATCTAAAAAGGATCTGCAAAATAACACACCACGTCATAGTAACCGCTGATTATATAAAATGTGATGCAATTTGCATATTTATAACGGGAGGTATGGGAAGTTACTATGTTTATATAAATGGTATCGGTATTACTATTGTATTGTTTTAGTTTCAACTTCCTGTTGATATGTTATTATAAATCTCTCCTGTGTTTAACTAGTAATATGTAACTTTATTTAATTTCCACGTGCAGATATTTACGTGAAAAACCAGTTGGTACACTTCTGCCAGTTTCATAGGCGGTAACTCCTTTATATATACTAGCGGAAAAAAGAAACTGTGCATGCGGAGAATTGTTATAGAACATGTATTACCAACTGTATATACATGAAAATTCACAGACATGACCGAGTATGACACATACACTTTCCGTGTGTCATTGACAGCTTTTCCCGTGCAGTTTGTTCTCTATAGGCGTTGACCAGTTTGCACGTTTTTCTCGTCCAGCCATCTAATTCGACAATGAAAGTTTCAACTGTTGGGTCACTCTGTTGAGACCAGTGAACAGTAAAAACAGCATTATAACGTTTTAATTTGTGATTAATGCTATGCCGAGGCTCAATGAAAATGACCGCCTCCGGATTATTGGTATGCTTCAAGCTGGTATCGGCCAAGCCGTTGTCTCTACACGTTTTCTTGTCCATCGAAACACAAACCGGGATTCAACAGTTTGGCCAGGTCGGCGATCGACCTCGTGCGGGACCGTCCACGTGTGACGTCACGTCAACAGGACAACCATATTCGGCTTGTCCAATTGAGAAATCGCTTCCAGCAGCAGGCATCTGCAATTTACTCGACGGGATTGGGCAGGCATTTTATTTACGGACGAGTCGCGAGTCCACCTGGATAGTAGTGACGGCCGTTCCAGAGTGTATCGTCGCGTTGGCGAACGTTTCCGTGACGCGTGTGTGGTACAACGACGTTCTTTCGGCGGAGGCAGCGTTATGATTGGGGCGGCATCACAGCCAACGGGAGAACGCATCTGGTGGTTGTTAACGGGAATTTGAACGCGCTACGTTACCGTGACGAGATCCTCCGGACCCACGTCGTTCCATTCGTGCGAGGGCAGAAACGTCACATTACGCTACAGCAGGACAACGCCAGGCCACACACAGTTCGTGTCGCTATGGACTTTCTGGCCCAGCAGAACGTTGACGTGTTGCCCTGGCCTGCTGTATCCCCCGATATGTCGCCCATTAAACACGTTTGGGATGAAATGAAGCGCAGATTACGGGCATTACCTAATCAACCGGTGACGTTGGCTGATTTGGCTGCAGCGTTGGTACAGATCTGGAATGCCATCCCACAAGCATTCTTGAACCGTCTGATAGGCGTTGTAAGGCTTGCATTCAGGCAAACGATGGACATACGAGGTATTAACTTTGTGAACTCAGTATTGACCCCTGCTGTGTTTACGCAACTCCTGAGCGGAACTTATTGATTTCATAACGTGGAAAATGGAATGCAACTGTTGATAAACAAGCATTCTGTGGGTATTGATGAATCAATTCATGTCCCCTACCGGCCCCCCAAACTTTAACCTTCAGATTTTGGCCAAGATAGTTAAGTCCAAATTATGTCAAAAATAAAAAACAAGAAGTATTTATTCACTTTCACTAAACAACAATAATGCTAGACCCCTAAAGAACCTCTTTCCACAAAATCAGCATCCTAACAATATTATAAAGTGAAATGACTTTCCATGGTGTTATGGCTGCAGTAAGACAGTTTTTAGCAGGTAATGAGATGCCATTTTTAAAAAAAAATTCTATATATTCCAGTTAATCTGGAAAGTTTTCTCTGCTAAAGGCTCAAAACGTTTTTACAACACACTGGTAAATAGAAAAATAATTCCAACTGGACAGGTTAAATGGAATGTTGAACTTGACATCAATGACCAGTACTGGAAACGAATACATCTAATCCCTTTCAAAGTTACTTCTAATAAAAAGCTACAATGGCTTCAGTTTCGAATTTCGCATCATATACTGACAACAAATTCTTTTTTTATCTAAAGTAGGTATCTTAGATAATCCTCTATGTACTTTTTGTAATCAAGTTGAAGAAACTATAGTGCACTTATTATGGGAATTCCAAGAAGTTCAGTCTTTTTTGCAAAGTTTTGAATCTATCCTAGACGCATTGCTAATTCCTTTCCAATACAATAAAATCACTAAATATTATGAAAAACTGTGGAAAAAAAGATTGATAAAAAAATTGATAAAAAAAAATATATATATTATGAAGTGAACGGTGAACCATTACAAAACTTTACCCAAACTTTAACCTGCAGTTGTTGGCCAAGATAGTTAAGTCCGAAACATGTCAAAAATTCAAAAAAACAACAAACAAAAAAACCATTTTCAATCCACAGCATTAATGCTAGATCCCTAAAAAACCTCTGTACATAAAATCAGCATCCTAACACTATTATTAAGTGAACGGTGAACCATTACAAAACTTTAACCCAAACTTTAACCTGAAGATTTTGACCAGGATAGTTAAGTCCAAAACATGTCAAAAATTCCCCAAAAAATAAAATTATTTTCCATTTTCAATCCACAGCATTAATGCTAGACCCCTAAAGGACCTCTATGCTAAGACTCAGCATCCTAACATCATTATTAAGTGAATGGTAAGCCATTACAAAACTTCAACCCAAACTTTAACCTGCAGATTTTGGCGACGGACGGACGCAGACAAAACCTATAGTCCCCCCGGTTTAACCGGTAGGGGACTAATAACAAATAACTACGTCATACACATTTATTTTTCTAACACATTTTAGGCATGCACAGTTTCTTTTTTCCGCTAGTATATATATACCACCAATTGTATTGTGTGGAGAAATTAAATATACACCGCAAAGTAAAATTAATTTGCTGACGTGATTAACTTGTATTGAACATTGCTGAGTTATAATCTACTTTTCTTGACCTTGGACGGTAACAGCCCGTGTCTGACCTGTCCTTTTACTGGAACAATA